GCCTCCGAAGGCACTCCAATTCCCCGTGGTCTGCTTGGCAGTTGGGATATAGTCCTCGGAGCTCGTACTGATAGTCCTTGGTGAGGATCTGGGAGTCTTCAGGGTTGGGATACAAGCCTCCTCCTGCCAAGACAAAGTTCTATACTACTGAGATTATACAACTCTGTTTAATACACACGGCTTTAGACGGGCTGGATTGTTGGCTGCCTAACTTACCATGAGGGTTGATTCACTCTGGAAGAGGAAGGTTTTAGAGCAGGAGGGGAAGACTTGGTTTGAAGACATGGGAGATAATTCCAGATGGAAGTGTGAGTGGAGAACTCCAATCATTAAGATTGAGTGCTAAATTTGGAATCCGATTCCCTTTCTCTGAGCTGGAAGTGATCACCAATTTTCAAATGAAACACTATTAAGAGGTCACACAGATTTTGCTAATCAGTCTGTGTTAATTGGGTCCAATTTGTGAAGACCAAGTTGTATGGTGATATTTGTCCTCCAAAGGAAATAATATTGTTGTAAAATACTGGAGTCCTAAGTAGGTTTTGTATTTACTTGGGCTCATTTTGAATCTATGCAGAATTACGGTTTTTGACCTGCTGCGTTAAATGACTAGCTGGAAGAGATGACTTTTAGGATTTCTCCCTTACAGCAGGGTTCTCTGTTATGTGAATATTACTCTGCTAAGAGTTCAGAGGGATCATCTGAGTTACCTACAGGTCCCTGACCCAAGATTTTTGGAGTCGATGTGAAAGTTTTTAGGAAGCAACAGCACTCTGTTTGTCCTTAGCCCAAAAGAGCCCTGACAGACAGGTGGCTGTGATGTTTAATCCCTTACCTCGCAGAAACCAGTAAGTTTAAGTGGTACTGTGTGATGTCTGAAAGTGTTGAGAAGGAGAATCCTTTGGCAGATGTAGTGCTTAGCCTGGATTTGGCCATTACTTTATTACAGTTCTTCTGTCTTTATCTCCTATGCTGAAATGTATGTGTTTGTGAAGGCTCTTAGTTTCTGTAACATACAGTATAGTCAGCATAATTTAGGAGTTGTTCGGACTCAGAGATCATCATTATAATCTTGCATTGATCTTTTTTTAAAATTTATTTTCGTTGATGTTTCCATAGCTGATCAGGGTGGGAAGGATTGAGGGTTAGGGGAAAGTGAGTGAGACTGTTGTTTCCAATTTTCTTTTTCTTCTTTCTGTATCTGGGAGAAAGGGGAGAAAATGGGAGAAGCCACACCCAGCATCCTAACTACATCAGTACCCGGGGATGGGGAATGGCCACCCGACGTAATCCCGGGGTCCCTGATGTGGTGCATGTTCCAAGGGTTCTGCTTAAGTGGTTTTGATAGTTCTGAAATGGTATCAGTCTTGCCAATCCAAGAGTGAGGAAATCCTTCCAATATCCATTGACTGACTTGGTCAACCTTAGTCTCCATTTGCCCTGATATTTGCTGCCATCTCTTGGTTGGGGTAGCTGTCTAATTTGTTCTGCCCTCCTTCCTCTGGCATGGCACCAGATGTCTTCTGAAGGCCTTGATGGGCTGCCATATCCTCCAGTGCATCTGGGCCTGCTCCCACTGCTCCCTCTTTTCCACTGAGGTGCCCAGTTCTGACACATGTACTCTGCAGTCAGATTACCAATCCTGGGTGTGAGTCCTCTTGTTCCCACACTCCCCACAACTGTGCCATACCCCAAAGTCCCTGTAGCACCACCCACCAAGTCCCCACTAGTGTGCTGCTGAGTGGCCAGTGGGGTTCACCCAGTGCAATTGGCTCCCCTTGTCACCCAGCCTGGGCTCTGCCAGATCCCTACACTCTTGGAGCTCAAGGACCTGGCACCCACTGTGCAGGTAGGCCTAAGGACCCAGGCCAGGCAGCCCAAGCCAGGCGACTCAAGCCCTGCTGGAACCATCACCCCGGGGCTCACAAACTTGGTACTCATTATACAGGTGGGCCTAAGGATTCTGGCCAAGTGACCTGGGCCCCAGTGGACACCCTGCCATTGTGGTTCACAGACCTGGCACCCACTGTGCTAGCAGGCCTAAGGACTCAGGCTAGGTGATCCAGGCCCTGCTGGACACCCCATCCTGGGGTGGGCCTGAAGACCAGGAGAGGCAACCTGGGCCTTCTTAGAACCACCACCCCAAGGAGCTCACAAATCTGGCACCCACTGCCAGGCAGGCCAAAGGACCCAGGCCAGGCGACCTGGGACCCACTGAATGCCTGCCCTTGGAGCTCATGGACTCAGCACCCACATATCTTTAGGGGAAAAAAATAGAACTGGTAGGGTTAATGTATATTTGGCTTAAACTAGACCCAGGATGCCTGCCAGCTCTTAGCTGCTTTTTTCCCCAGCAGCGCAACACTTGCCTAGGTGTAAAACAACCCAGGCCGTTGCCCACAGCTGTGGAGCATTGATTCTTTTAGATGGAAGAGTTATGTTAAAATGTGTCTTTTATGTCACCTTTCTAGAGAACCACTGGATGGAGAGAAGAGTTTTGATAGGCTGATAAGGGTTTTGGGCTTAGTGCAGAACTTGAGCTGGACATACCTGGGGAACTTGAGGAGGGGACAGCTCACTGGAATGCAGTCTCTGGTTTGGGGTGTCAGAGGAACTGAATTTGTCAGCTGAACCCAGGGTTTGAGAGAAGCACTGGTAGATTCTGGTGGGGGTGATGTGTGATATCCCTGGCAGGCGGCACACTAGAGGTAGACCAGTAGACAGTGTGTGCGGGGACTGGCAGTGGTGTGAATGATGAGGACCTGGGACATGCCCATGGTGAGAAGGACCAAAGATGAGCAATGTGATGTACAGTAATTATTTACATCTTAGCAATAAAATGCCATTATTTTAAATCAAATATCTAGTCAGTGATCATATTTCCAGTTGTTTCATGATATACATATTTTAAGTTTTATTGGTTCTTTTTTCTTAAAAGATTAATTTTTATTGGGAAGTTATATATACAGAGAAGAGGAGAGACAAAGAGGAAGATTTTCTGTCTGATGATTCACTCCCTGAGTGACCATAATGGCCAGAGCTGTGCCAATCTGAGGACAGGAAATCGGAGCCTCTTCCTGGTCTCCCACACAGGTGCAGGGTCCCAAGGCTTTGGCCCGTCCTTGACTGCTTTTTCAGGCCAGAAGCTCTGCTGAATGGGAAGTGGGGCTGCCGGGATTAGAACCATGACCATATGGGATCCTGGTGCATTCAAGGCGAGGACTTTAGACTCTAGGCTACTGTGCTGGGAACTGTTTTGTTTGTTTGTTTTTTGTTTTTGTTTTTGAGTGGCAAAGAACATGAGCAAGAGAGCACTTTGACTCACTGCTTTGCTCCCTGAATACCAGCGATAGACAGGGCTGAACCTGGGCCAACGCCAGGAGCCAGGGGCTCAGGCCAGGTCTCCCGGGTGGATTCCAAAAACTCAAATACTTGGCCTGTTACTGCTGCCTCCCAATGTCTGCATTGGCAGAAAGTTCAAATTAGGAGCTGGTGCCAGGAACTGCATACAGGTACCACAGGGTAAAATGTGGGTGTCTAGTCAGCTAAACTAAAAAACTATTTGAATTAGAATTAATTCGTTTGTTTTAATTAGAATCCAAGTAAGTCTGTTCACTGTAATTGCCTGCTGTATCTCTCATCAGCTTGCACCTCATTTCTGTTTTTCTCCCTTGCGAGTTATTTGTAGAAGATCTGGGTCATTTGTATACAGAAGTAGTCTTGCCTTTGCTGATACTCATGTGATGGTGTTTTACATAGATCCATGGTTGGGTCTAGAGACATGATCAGATTTGTATTAGGTCAAAAGCCTGCATCTCATCTATGTACAGTTTATCTTATTGTGATGGATGCAGACCGATTGCTACTTTTAATTTTCTTTTAATCACAAATGATAGTCTGTCCAGGTCTCAAGTGTATGTAGACAGGTTCTAATAAACTCAGGTACCTAAGCTAACCACTTTGCAGGGCTCCCCCATTGTTCTAGGACATTCTCTTACATGCTTTTGCCCTCTGTCCTTTTCTTCCCCAGTTAAAACAAAACAAAATAGAACACCCCACTGTTCTAACTTTTGCTCTCATAGACCAGTTTTACTAGCCAAGAACTTAAAAAACAAAATAGAAGCATATTGCACTGTCATTTAATCGTGATGTGTCTCAGTCTTAGGCTTTAGACTTGTTCAGCACCTACTCTCTGCCAGAATCGAGGTTGCTATTACGTGTGCAAATGTCTGTCAGAATGGACAGTGAGGATGGTAAGATGTTTGTAAGGACTAAGGCGGGGTGGAGTGAGTACCCCAGGAATCCGAGTGTCCTGGGAAAAGGAGCGGCCTGCCTCTCCGTGAGGTTCTGTGAGGGCACGAGTGGGGGCCGCGTGCTTCCCGTTCCTCTGTCCTGTTGGATACACCCACACAGGGCACTTGGGCTGTTTTGGTCATTTGTGACTTCCCTGCATAGGCACAGGATTTCCTCATCGCCTTGTGTATTCTGATGCAACGGCGACCTGGAGCCCTGGAGTGGCTTCCTCCCATGGGCACAGAGCCTGGGACTGCGGGCTCTGCCACTGAGGCAGCTCCTCCCTGCCAAGTCCCACCCACCAGCCCGGCGTACTCCTCTCGCTCGCCTCTGCCGCTTCCTTCAGTGTCTCCTGTTCAGACGCTCCAGTGACCAAATCCACAAGACCAAGTTCACATTTTTACAAGAAAAGCAGTTAATGGTTCACAGCTGGAATTTGTTTCTAGGCACTACATAATCTCTAAAGATGACATCATGTTAGTACATGCTATGAATGTGCATATTTTCTGCATATAAACAAATATTTCCATGTATGTGTGTAATGCATATATGTGTGTATATAAATGTATATGTTTTTGTCCAATACGTAACAACTAACTTGATAGGATCAGTTAGGGAATAATATTGAAAACATAAAAGTAAAGTTTTTCTGGAACAAAAAGAGGATAAAATTAGTAAAGTTGTCCCTTTTTCTTTTTTTTGCACAGAACCATCCGAGTATGGCTGAAAAGAGACAGCGGTCAGTACTGGCCCAGCATTTACCACACAATGGCCTGTAAGTAGCTCAACTATGTACTTATGGAGTACATCTCTAATGTCTTTGATTATTTCGTTTCAAAATAGTCAATCAGAAATTGCTGCTGACTTTCAGAGTGAGTTTCTGAGTTGCCCAATACCTCTGGTGATAAACTCCAGGAAAGCTCCTTTTTTTTTTCAGAGGAAGTGGGGCTGAGTGGCTTAACTGACACTGAAATTGACTCTTACAAAACTGAAAACACAGAGAGAGAGAGAGAGAGAGAGAGAGGGAAGGATGGAGGGAGGGGGGAGAGGGAGAGAGAGGAGAAAGGGCTTGTTCTCCCCTGCTTTTCACTTGTCTCCTTTGGCCAACTCAAGGGTAACCTTGTGATTGGCTGATGCTGGCCTGGCAGGTGCCCTTTTCATTGCCAGGCTCACGGCCAGTCTTCTGCCTGCCCTTACAACCTCCTGGGAGATGTGGGCTGAGGGACAGCATTCCAAGGAGAGAATTTTGTCTACCTAGAATATTCCAAAACTGAATCTAGAATATAAAGCTTCTTCCCCAGGATGTAAAGTGACATAAAACAACGTGTAAATACTAATCTTTCATGCAAATGGAAGGTAGTGTTGTCATCATTTTCTGACATCTTTGGCGATCCTGGAAAGGAAAGTCCTGCAGAGAATGCCTGGGTCCTACGTAAGCCCTAGTGGGGGGTTGGATACCGCTATTCCAGACAGCCACATGGAAACCATCTATAAATACCAGTTTCTTTGAAGTTTTGGTCCTCAGTGAAGGATTTTCCTCACTTAATTGCTTCACTACTCTGCGTCCCAGGAAGAGGAGAGACATAGTGCTTGCAAGACAGCTTGCTACTGCTACTGCTGCATTGTAAATGCCTCCTGGGAAGAGTGCTTGGCCAGTGCCTGGATGCTGCCGACGCTGCTCACGGGCTTCTAAAGGGACACTCCACAGCTAGGGAGTGTGTTACAAACACAACAACCGATCTTTCAGCAAACTGCATGTAGTTAGTTTGAATACCCCCCCGTCTCGTGTGGCACGTTCCCTGCACATGCATTCCTGCGTGCATGCAGTGTTTGGATGCCATAGTCATTTCCACAAGAACTTAAGGACTTATTAGGACTTTCATTTGTTCTATCTTCCACCAGCAGCTTGGGCAGGCTCATCAGCTTCTTCTTGATAATCATTCAATGAAAATGAAATAGACATTTGGGAATACTATTGTAATGATAATGATTATAGAAGAAACAATAAAATTTTACAATGCGTAGAACATTTAGATATGATCATAATTGTGCCAGGCAGTTTTCCTTTTACTTGTGTCTGTACATACTGTGGATGATGGATGATAGAGCTTGCTTTCTTGCTCTGACTTCTGACGTGAAATACAAAGACAGTAGTGTCTCAGTAGAGGTGTTGATGGAACTGGTTTGATAAATTTACCGTGGGAATTTTTAGCACAGTGCAGAAGTAGATGAGATACCTTGGGCCTCTGATCCCATCTGTTATTCACAACCCACTCCCTATCCCCGACTTTGGTTAAGTTAATAATTCTTGGATCTTTCCGGAAAGTTTTATTTATTTCTACATGAAAGGCAGATTTACAGAGGGGTCTTCCATCCACTGGTTCACTCCCCAAATGGCCACAATGTCCAGAGCTGAGCTTGAAGCTGTGAGCTTCTTGCAGGTGTCCCATGTGTTACACTGTTTTCCAGGGGCCTTAGCAGGAACTGGATCACAAGTAGAGCTGCTGGGATGCCAGCTGGCGCCCTAATGGGATACTGGAGCCACAAGTAGAAGCTTAGTCTGTTATGCCACGGTGCTTGCCCCAGGTTGATAATTCTTATATCCCAAATGGCTCAATGATAGATCTGATGGTTGGAAATAATGGCAGTAGCCTGGGAATTCATCTCAGTGCTGGGGAAATGTTTTGCTATCATTGTGGAAAACTTTATTAATAATATTGTTGCTGCTAATCCCACTTCTAGCTTCCTCTATAAATAAGTTTTAGAAAAAATACGTTTATTTATTTTGCTTGAAAGAGTGAAAGGTAGGGAGAGAGAGAGAGAGCTCGAGATCCTGCGTTCTTGCATTGCTGGTTCAGTTCCCAGATGACCATAATAGCAGGTGCTGGTCCTGGATGAGGCCAGGAGCCCAGACCTCCTCCTGGCTCTCCAGTATAGGTGATAAGAACCCAAGTATTTAGACCATCCTCCACTGATTTCCAGGTACAGTAGCAGGAAGATGGATCAGAAATAGTGGTGCGAGTTGAAAAGTGGGATGCTGTATTGCTTAGCTGACTGTGTGCCACAACAACAGCCTCATAGCTCGTTTTTGTTACGGTTTAATCTCCTTCTGTCCCCAACCTGAAGTTCATACTGATGAGAAGAGAGGCAGCAATTAATATAGATTTTGTCCTTTATGTAGTTGTTACTCCTCCAGTTATATTTCCACCAAATTTATAAAGTAACTGTAATTAATTTCTCTCTGGACACCAAAACTCTACTATGCTAGAGCACACTGTGGTCTGTCTGTTCTTGACCTTGTTCACCTGAGAGTAACCATTGCCCCTGATGGAGTTCTCAGCACAGGAAGGGACCGGGAAGGAACAGCCACAGCGTCTCTGTGTTCAGTAGCTGGGACCTGTGTGCCTAAATCTATTTATGTTCAGCTTATAACTTCCGTATGCTTCTCCATTGCTCCATCTCAGCCTGTGTCTACTGATGAAACTGCAAGAATGCTATCACAAGAAAGCTGAATGAGCATAAGAAATAAAGGCTTGTCTGTTTCGAGTGACTTTTATTTCAGCAGAGAAGTGCTGTGTTGGTTCTCGGCACTCAGCAGATGGCCCACATTCAGCTGTTTCAGTGTTTGCCTTCCTGTGACCTGATACGGTGACCAGTAAGCCAGGCCTTCATATGTTGCTGTGTGCAGTCTGGTTATATGCTACAACATCACTGCCTTTGACAAAATGCCGTTTGTCTGCGTTAATTGAGGGATTCTGGGCCACCTTCTTTCTTAGTAACCGGATTTTGTGAAAACGGCCATATAAAGCCGTAGGAAGAAGGTGGTGGCGATTTTCCTGTTTCGCTGATGAGGATGTTGAGATCAGAAGAGTTAAGGCAGTCTCTGTGTTTGGGATTTGAATCCGTGCCCAGTTTTGACTCCAGAGCTGTGCCGTGGTAGTGAGGAAGTGCTTCCATACGCTTCTTTATGCAAAGGAGCAGACAGTAAATATTTAGACTTTGTGGGCTAACCTGTCTCGATCTCTGGGCAACCGTTTGGCTCTGCTCTCACAGCCTGAAAGCAGTTGGTCATAAGCAACATGTAAGTGAAAAGGAGCTGGCTGTACTCCACATAGCAGCAAGATTTAAAGACATTGCGTAGAGAGCTTGATTTTCCTGGCTGTGAGCCAAAGTTTTAAGCATGCAATTTTGGAATACAGTGATGCCTTGTATAAAGTCTACTAATTTGAAAGATGATTTGATTTTGCTTGTTTAGAAAACTTTGAGAATCTGATGCCCGCTTCTTCTTTTTGAAATTTATATCGTTTAACTCCATAGAAATGTTTTTCTGGGGGAAGAAAAATGGGTATCATTAAATACAAAATAATTCAGTGAAGCTTTTGTCTGTGTTTAAGTGTAAAGATTCTCTGTCCTAATAAAATGACTCATTTTAATTTTCATATACAAGAAGGATTTTAATGTATTTCTGTAGTTTGTATAAGGCTTTACATAAACAAAATTGAAAAATGTTTAAAAATGATATGTGGGGCTCAGCACGATAGCGCAGTGGTTAAAGTCCTCACCTTGAATGCACCAGGGTCCCATGTGGGCACCGGTTCTAGTCCCGGCAGTCCCGCTTCCCATCCAGCTCCCTGCCTGTGGCCTGGGAAAGCAGTTTAGGATGGTCCAAAGCTTTGGGACCCTTCACCCATGTGAAGAAGCTCCTGGCTCCTGGCTTCGGATTGGCTCAGCTCCAGCTGTTGCAGCCACTTGGGGAGTGAACAGTTCAGCGAAAGATCTTCCTTTTTGTTTCTCCTCTCTCTGGATATCTGACTTTCCAAAAAAAAAAAAACCTAATAAATAAATAAATATTTTTTAAAAAGATATGTGAAGATTTAATACCAACTGAAAAGTTAGCAGAAATGATGTCAACGAACTTTTTATGTCAGCAAAATATGTTTGACTTGTTAAAGAGAATTTTATGCATGGTTGTGAAAGCACATTTAGGTTGTGTCAGTATACATTTATCTTTGTAGTAATAAGTAGAGCGAGAGTGAGAGAGAGAAAGGGAGAGAGTGAGAGAGCGAGCAAGTGAGAGAGAGATCTTTCATTTGCTGATTCACTTCCCAAATGGCTGCAGCTGCCAGAGTTAGGCTGATGCAAAGCTGGCAGCCAGGAGGCTTTTGGCCATCCTCCACTGCTTTCCCAGACTGTTAACAGGAACTCGATTGAAAATGGAGCAGCTGGGTCTGAAACTGGTGCCCATATGGGATGCTGGCACTGCAGGGGGAGGAGTAGTTTGCTAGGGCACCAGGTTGGCCTCCAGCTCTCTGGTTCTTAAATGCAACTGAAAGAGCTTCTGTTGGCTCTCCTGCTGTGAGTTGTGTGTCTGCCTTTGGATACAATCCAGTCATGATTTACTCTCTCCCCTTGGTAGACAATATCAGCCCATCTCAGAGACAATGTTAAGCTATTTTCAAACAATGCTTTCACTAAGATATTTCTTTTCTGATTTTTTTTTAAAATGAGAAGTTTTATTTGAAAGCTCAAGTTGTGTGTGATTCTCCCCACTCCCACCCCCCACCACCATCTTGTCCTGAATTTCTTTTAGTTTTTCTGTTGTTAACTAAAATTTTTTAGGCCAATATAAAGTCACACATTTCTTCTTAGGAATGTGCCAGTATATAAATCACTTAACTCTGCTTCCCAGCAGAAAATGATAGTTGAGTGCTTCTCTCTGAAGCACGGTCTGCCTCCCATGAGCTCTGGGAGAGGGCTGAGTGTGCCTGACATGAGGCACACGCCGTCCTGGGCACCTACTGCTGCTGGGGGCCATGTGATGTGCTGCTCCACACTGTGTCAGCTGCTTAAATGGGGTTGTGCGTGTCATTGGAAAGGGAGCATTTTCTGACCTCTGGGTAGCAATGTTCCCGGGTGGCTTTCCCAGCTGACTTCTAATTGCCATGGAATGGGAATTCTGGGGCTGGGATCTGCCCAGAATCCAGGCACTGTCTGGCCCGTGATGGGGCAGGATGACCTACTGAGCATTTGAGTAAAAGACCACGTACTCCCTGAGACCTGTCCCCAAACCTTTCCAGATCTCAGAGAAGGGTTTCAGTCAGAGGAAACTTCACACTGGATTGCTTTACCCAAAATAACAGTTATGAAATTGGGACTTAAATACAACAGACAGAACATTAAACACATTTTAAAGCTTGTGTGATGATTCGTATAGCCCTGTAGCCCTTGTTCATGATAATGAACCTGAAGTGATGGTTTCAGAGGTGCAGCCTGATGCTAACATTCGCTTTGTCTTTCCGGCAGCCCCTTGCTCCACCATGGCTTACCATCACGACAGCAGACGCATATTTGTAGGCCAGGATAACGGAGCCATGATGGTACGTAGCTTCCGGGATGTCTTTGCATGTTCTTCATGTCCCACCCCCCTGTTCACTTGGTTCAGGTGGTTTAAATTTAGCAGTGCATTCTGGTAGTTTGGCATAAACAACAAATATCTACTTGAGTATAGATGCTGTGTCTAAAGATGGATTAATTAAAGTGCTTAAACTAGTTTCGGGAAGTTTGGAGTGCTGTCATGACTGGTAAGGTGGTACTTGGCAAGCTCAGAGGGCACAGCCTTGGTCGGGTGACTGTAGAGCCGTGGTCACAGCTGCTGTCTCTCGGCTGTTACATGGAGAACCTCATCCCTAAGTGTTTCAGAGAGGAGCTGGAGGGCCGGTGAGGTTAGGGACCAGCCGTTCAGCCCACAGATCACGCAGAACCTGTAAGGCCGCACTTCTCATACGCTGGTGAGGCACTAGGTACTTGAGTTTTCCATCTGTTTTAGAATAGTGTTTTTGTGTCTCTAATTGGGTTCATACAGTTTTTTCCTTAATGGAGGTTTAATTCAATTAACCAAATATTCACCATTTGGAAGTACTGGTCAACTTTTCTGTAACTGAAGCACCTGTGAGGAGCTGCTTTGGAAGGGAGATATTTTTTCTGGGTTTGGGGGCTCACACTGCCACCTGGGCAGCCCCATTAGCTCAGGCAGCTTAGGAGGAGGTTGGAGGAGACCCCACAGTCAGGAAGCCGAGGGACCCAGGGAGCATGCTCTTCGGCTCCTCTCTACTCTGTGCTGATGAAGCCAGGGCAGTCTAATCGTGGATCTAATGAGATCGGTCATGCCTCCACCCTAATCAGCTACTACTGATATTAGTTTATTAGCCATTTGCAAGAGACTTGGGGGTTTAAATATCTGTGCAGAACAAATGACAAAAAAATTCAAAAAAGATAAAAAGAAAAAAAAAAAGAAAAGGCATAAAAAGAAATAAAAAATATCTTTGTGAGTTGAGGGAGCCCAAGTCTTTTTTTTTATTATTTTGTGATTTTTTTTATAAATTTCATTTTTTTTTTTAAAGATTTATTTTTATTATTTTTTCATTGGAAAGGCGGATATACAGAGAGGAGAGACAGAGAGGAAGATCTTCCGTCCGATGATTCACTCCCCAAGTGAGCGCAACGGGCCGATACTATGCCGATCCGAAGCCAGGAGCCTCTTCTGGGTCTCCCACGCGGGTGCAGGGTCCCAAAGCTTTGGGCCGTCCTCGACTGCTTTCCCAGGCCACAGGCAGGGAGCTGGAAGGGAAGCGGGGCTGCCGGGATTAGAACCGGCGCCCATATGGGATCCCGGACGTGCAAGGCGAGGACCTTTAACCACTTGCGCCACCGTGCCGGGCCCTAAATTTCATTTTTTAACAATAATTACATGGTGGATCAAGGTGGGAAGGACCAAGGTTTATGAAAATTGGGCGTACTCATTGCTTCCAAATTTGCTATTTCTTCTTTTTTTTTTTTTCCCCTGGGGAAGGGGAGAGACAAAGGGGAAACCACTCATAATTTTCCACATGTCTCAGTACCCAGGGATAAGGAACCGCCACCTCATATCAATCCAGAGTCTCCATGTGGACATTTTCCCAGGGTTCTGTCCAAGTGGCTTTTGGATAGTTCTGAAATGCTGCCAGTTTCACTAGTCCGAGGTTGATGTCACCCTCCCAAGGAGCCCAAGTAACACTGTTAGTTCCAGAGCACTTTCATCATCCCCCAACAAAACCCCAACACCGTCACTGGCCATGCTGCGTGTCCACACCCAGCTCCTGGCAATCACTGACCCACTTGAAGTCTCTGAACTTGCCTGCCTCAGACATTTGATGTAAAAAGAATGATCCAGTTGGCCCTTTGAGCCTGTCTGTTTTTGCTTTGAAGAATTTCAGGGCTTATCTAGGTTATAGTTTCACATATGAACTTAATTCCTTTTTGTGGTGGAATAGTATTACGTAAGTACAGCTCACTTTGTTCATTCATTTGTTAAATACGATCCTGTGAATTGGTCTAATTTTTGGCAGCTGTGAATAATGCTGCTAAGAGCACTCATCTATGGGCTTCTATATAATCGTACGCTTTCAGTTTCCTGGCTAGGAGTGAAACTGCTGGGTCATATGGTAACTCTCTTTTTAACTTTTGAGGAACTGACAAACTGTTTTCCAAAGTTACTGCATCATTTTGCAGCACTGGCAGCAGTGTGTGTGAGCTGCTGTCTGCCCACGTCAGTGCGAGCACTTGTTACTTCCCACTTGAATTTGCCTTGCTTTGTTTTTCTCATGGGAGTTTGGATGGTATCTTACTGTGCTTTGCGTGCAGGTCTCCCTGAGGGCTAGTCATGTCAAATATCTCACATGCTTCTTGGTTATTTATGTGTCTTCTCAAGAGAAATATCTATATAAATCCATTGCCCACTTTTAATTATGCTTTAAGAATTTTTCCTATGTGTTAGATTCTAGGCCCTTATCAGATATAAGGATTGCAGATTTTTTTTTCATTCTAAAGGTTGATTGTGTTTTACTTTATAAAGCTTGAGGAAGTTTAGTTTACCTCTTTTAGATATTGCATATAAAGCCATTGCCTAATCCAAGATCATTATTCCTATTAATAAAGATGTATGCTTATGTTTCGCTTTTATATCTAGATATCGGATTAACTGTGTTAATTTTTGTAAATGACACGAGAGAGGATTTCCTGTTTTGTCCTCTACTTGTGGTTATCCAGTTATCCCAGAACCATTTGCTGTAAATACTATTTTCCTCCCATTGAATTGCTTTGGAACAGCTGGCACAGAGCCAGGGAGCTGGAGAACCAGGGTGGAATTTTCCAGAAATGGGCATGTTGTGAAGGTTTATGGGGAGGTTGATCTCTTCATGTTTGAAGAGGTGAATGGATAGACCCAAGGGCATCAGGAGAATTGGGCAGGACCTTGTAGGGCTGGGGTAAGTTTTAAATCCCAATGCAGATGTGGTGAGAAGCTACTCAAAGGTTTTCAGCAGGCGAATGCCATGCTGTAGTGTACAGTTGTAAACAGAGTCTGTAGCTCCTTGGTGTAAAGTGGGTTGAGGGGCCATGGGGCCATGTGGTCAGAGTGGAGGAGCCCAGCAGCGCAGGTGGACTTTGAATGCATCCCAGATTACATACATGATGGTTTGGGTATGGGGAGGCCAGAAAAGAAGAAGATAGATAGCTTCCAGGTTTTGAACCTGAGCAGCTGGGGAAACAGGGACAGACAGCCTGAAGGAAAGCGACAATGAGGATGGTCCTGTGAGACATCCAGCATGTGGATGTATGAACTAGGCATCTAGCAGAAGGAGAGCCATCGGAAGGATCTCCTGGGGAAAGAATTTGAGAAGACAGTGGCAAGCATTGTGGTGCAGCAAGTAAAGGTGCTGCCTGCAATTTTGGCATCCCAGCTGCTCTAATTCCAATCTAACTTCCTGAGAAAATAGTATAGGGTGACCCCAGTTCTTGGGGCCCCTGCCACTCATGTGGGAGATTCCGATGGAGTTCCTGGCTCCTAGCTTCAGGTTGGTCCAGTCCTAGCCATTGTGGTTATTTGGGAGTAACTGACAGAGAATGTCTTTTCCCCCCCTTTCTCTGTAACTCTGCCTTCTGAATACATAAACAAGTTTTTATTTCTTTTCTTTTTTTTTTATTATAAATTTTTATTTTGACATTCTTTACATAGTTAAGTAGGGTAAGAAGGTTCAAGAGCTACAGGAAAGTGGATAATAGTAGTATGTTTTCCATATTGTTACCTTCATGTTTAAAGGGGGGTATTAAGGGAAAGGCCCACCCAATTTCCCACCCTCCCCAGGTCCCGGATGTAGGGCATGCTCTGAGGTTCTTGCTCAAGTGGTTTTGATATTGCAACAGTTATGAATTGCTGTCAATCTTGCCACTCCAAGCACTATGAGGTCTTTGAAAAATCCACTGATTGACATAGTCCATCATAGCTGAGCTGGTTGGTTGACCTGTTCTGTCTTCTCTCTTTTCTTCGTTAGGGTTCTGAGTCCAGCATTTAGATTAGGATCTCCAAAGCAACTTCTTGTATGTGCTAACGAGTACAGGAACTGGCACCGTCATTTGCCCCAATCAGCTGGTGGTTGCAATTGCTGGGTTGGTTCTGTTTTCACTCCCGACTTCCACTGGAACCAATGGGTGTTGCAGTCCAGCCTGGTTCTGCCCAGCACATACTTGGCCCTCACATAAACCAGTGGGAACTGCAGCCTAGTTGGAACGACCCACAGTAACCCCCACCAGGCCAACCCCCTACCCTGGTTTGCCAGTAAGTGTAGCAGTAATCCAGTCTGTCCCACACCCCATTCCACCCAAGCCGCTATCTTAGTTTTATGTCCTCCTGTGGAAGTGGTAACCCAAGAGGGATGAGCCCACTATTTCCCTCCCAGGCCTCTCCCACTCCCAGATTCCAGCTGATGCTGTGGCTAAGCCCACTTTAATTTTGTTTGCACCAGTAGGAATAATCCGCCCAGCCCGGCTTTTCCCTGATCTAGTCCACATGAGGCCCACAGGTGTGGTAGCTCTGCCTAGTGTGGTCTGTGTCCATCCCAGCCTATGCTCTCCTATGGAAGTAGCTGTCCAGCAAAGGAACCCTCCCTTATTCCCCTGCCGGCTCTGCCCACTTCCTTTCTTGTTCTCAGGCTGGTTGGGCGCTGCGGTCCCTTCCGGTACAGGCAACCTCACCTCGGCATTCCATAATGTGCACTAGTCTTTGTTGCGACCGAACCTGGCTCGACCCACACTGGTGCCTGGATTTGCCAGTTGGTGATGTGAACAGGTTCAGCCTGGTCTACCCCCAACCCATGCCATGTGTATGCCAGTGGGATAATTTCCATTGCCTGTTCTGGGCTGTTTTCTATTGTGCTTCTTGTGCTTACCTGCTCATTCTGTGTCCTGCCAGAGGAGTTGTCCAAGCTCCTCCATCAGAAACCCTCCCAGTGCCAGATTTCACACATACCAGTGGGTCCATGAGCCAGCCATACTCAGTCCACCTCCTGTCCTAGCAGGAACTGTGGCTTTTCCTGACTGGCCTTCCACCCAATCTGGTTCTTGCTGTTGGATGTTCCAGCCTAGCCATGGTTTGTCCATACCCACGTATGGCTCACACATGGCTCAGTAGGGGTTTGAGACCTTGCCTAGTCCATCCCACATCTGCCCTGGTCCTCCAGGACACCAGGGGTTGTTGGGGTCCGGCCCGGTTCGGTGCATCCAATCCTAGTCCACACTTGTGCCAAGGGAGACTACAACTGTTTCCAGATCAGAACACAGCCCTCCTTCCAGGCCACGCGCCTCTTGGTGGGAACCTCAGCCCAGCTAGGGTTGTCCCCTTAGCTCCCCAACTGGGTCTGTTCCCAGCCATAGATCACTTGCCTGCCAGTGGATGCTCTGACTCAGCTTGGCACAGCCCCTCCCCTGTCCCGAACGCTGCCTTAGACACTGTGGCTTAGCGTCCCTGTCTCACGCAGACCAGTAGGTACAAGAGCCTAGCTCGGCATGACCTCTGTTCCCTCCTGGTTTCTAGTTTTACTTGTGGGCTAAGGTTTGCTCAGTCGTGCCTGATCTACTCTGTTCCATTACCAGTTGACACATTAGCCAACTGTTGGAGCCACTTTTGCAGGACAAGCCCCAAGCCATAGCTTCTGCATGGACTGATATTTGGTGCTCAGCATTATTAGTGATTACAAGTTTTACAAAGAGTTACTGCCTGTTTCAGGTCCAAGAAGCACAATGGGTTCAACGTGGAGCTAATTAAGCAGCAACTCAAAGAATCAAATTCCCAGAGCTCCCAGCCGGGCGGCCAGCAGGCAGAGCCTGGCACCAAATGGTGCACTGGCTGCCTGGGGACAGCTTATCACATGCTTATGGTGGCTGTGGTCTGGGATCCAGGCATGAGACGCCCCGTCCTGAGACCCACCAACTGCCAGGAGGCTGCTGGAGGTTTAAATTCCCAGGCCCAAGGTCGCGCCCATCCCAAATCCCATTCACTGCCCCATGAAGGCGGCGGGTGGGTCCCGGACCTGCCCAGTCCCGGAGACCCTCCCCCTCGGTCTACTCACCCCCGAAGGAAGCAGCCCCTGGAACCCAGCAGGCCCGGGAAACAGCCCACCGTGTGCACATGGCGGCTGTGCGGGATCCAGGCATGAGACGCCTTGTCCAGAGACCCACCTATTTCATTTTTTTAAAGATTCATTTATTTTTATTTGAAAGGTAGATTTACAGAGAGAAGAAGAGACACAGAGAGATCTTTGATCCACTGGTTTATTCCCTAAATGGCTGCAATGACTAGACCTAAGCCATTCTGAAGCCAGGAGCCAAAAGCTTCTTTCTGGCTTTCCCATGTTGGTGTAGGGGCCCACCCTCCGCTGCTTTCCTCGTCTATAAGCAGGGAGCTGGACCAGAAGTGGAGCAGTTGGTGAATGAACCAGTGCCTGTATAGGTGTTGGTACTGCAGACGGAGAGTTAGCCTGGTGAACCACTATACCAGCTGCCAATTTTTTTTAAGATTTGTTTTTTTATTTGAAAAGTAGATTTATATGTAGAGAAAAAGAAACAGAAATCTTCCATATGCTGGTTCACTTCCCACATGGCCGCAATGGCTGGATCTGAGGCAGTCTGAAGCCAGGAGCTTCTTCCACCTCTCGCACACAGTCATAGGATCCCAACGCCTTGGGCCATCCTCTAGGGCTTTCCCGGGCCAGGATCAGGGAGGTGGATGACAGCTGGAGCAGCCGAGACATGAACTGGTTCCTGTGTGGGATCCTGAAGCTTGCAAGGTGGAGGATTAGCCGATTGAGCCGATACACTTAGCCCTAGATTTTTTTTTTTTTAATTTTTATTTGAAAGGCAAATGTGCAAAGATAGGAAAGGACAAACAGAAAATCTTCCATCCTCTGGTTCACTCTCTAAATCTCTACAAATGGCCAAGAGCTGGAGTGGTCTGAAGCCAAGAGCCCTGAGGTTATTCTAGGTCTCCCACATGTGTTTAGGGGCCCAAGAACCTGGACCATGTTCCGCTGCTTTGCCAGGCACATTAGCAGGGAGCTGGATTGGAAATGGAGCATCTGGTACTCAAACTGCTGCCTCTATGGATGCTGGTACTGCAGGTAGAGTTGAGGCTTTACATATTATGTCACAGCACTGGCCCCCATAAATAAATCGTATATATAAAAACTGTATATTATTTTACATTATATATATTAATGAGAAGATGGAGTCCAGATCCAACCTGGAACACTGCAGCATTTTGGAGTGGAGTTGAAGGGGCAGCCAGCCTGTTGAGAGTATGACTGTAGGAAGCCCGGACTACCTCGCAGAAACCAGATGACCCAGACTTTCACACAGCTGGCAGAGTCAGGATCCCTAGGGTGGGGCCTGAGGATCTTCTCAGCAGGTCTTCTTGTCGAGCCTTGGGACCAGGTGTTTTGGAGGATGCCATTGAAGAGCAGTGAGAAGGAGGTGATGGATGGCTATGTTTCTTGTTTTCTCCAGCTCCACCTGCCAGGATATGGAAGACAGGCTTGGGGGTACAGGGCTGAAGGTGGGGGTGCCAGTAGGAAAGCTGTTTTAGGGATAGGAACACAGGCAAAGCTTGTGAAACTCTGAGGTGGCGATGGGGAACTGTCTGGATGGCAGGGTGTGATGGTGACTGGATTGAGTGTTGCAATAGAGGGAACGGTGTTGAGATGGTGTTGAGACTGATGGCCAGGAATTTAGCTGAATATAGAGACAGAAAAGGTGCTGACAGAGGGGAGAAAATGGACACACTCAGCTTTGACACTCGGTAACACAAGCCTGGCTGACATTCAAGGGTCTGGTCCGTACTGGGCGAAGAGCTCAGCAGGAACTCTGGCAGCGGCCGCCAGGAGCCATGCAGGAAGGGTAGAGTGAGAAGAACAGAGGATACCCCAGTCCTTGTTTGTACAGCAACTACAAACTGTTAGTAATGGGTCTTTGTGGTTTTATTTTACATACTCATGGATTTCATGTATGTTTATAGCCAAGAGAGCAAAAGCGACACACTTTTTTAAAGGTTTATTTATTTTCATTGGTAAGTCAGATATACAGACAGGAGAGTCAGAGAGGAAGATCTTCCATCCTGTGGTTCATTCCTCAAGTGGCCGCAATGGCCAGAGCTGAGCTGATCTGAAGCCAGGAGCCCAGAGCCTCTTCTGGATCTCCCATGTGGGTGCAGGGTCCCAAGGCTTTGGACCATCCATGACTGCCTTCCCTGGCCACAAGCAGGGAGCTGGATGGAAAGCGGTGCCACCAGGACACGAGCTGGCACCCATGTGTGATCCCAGCGCGTGCAAGGCGAGGACTTTAACTGCTAGGCTGCCGTCCTGGGCCCTCAACATACTTTTTGTAGTCAGAGGGGAGAAGGAATGGGTCAGAAATTCCCTCGCAGGTCTGCAACACTTGATTCCACTTGATCTGGTACCTCACAGAAACCACAGTGTGCGAAGTCTGTTGAAAGACGCATCCGTATGCCTTGAACGCTCCCCGGAAGTCCCTGAGCTTGGGTACCCACTTTTGGATTTTACTTTGAAATTTTGGATTCATTTTGAAACCACTGCTGCTTTCTCATTGTATGTGTTTACTTTTAGGAATTTCATGTTTCTGAAGATTTTAACAAGATGAACTTTATCAAGACCTACCCAGGTAACAGCACATACATGTGTGCTTGAAAATGCTTGAAAATACATACACATGAAACTAGAACATTGTGTTTTATGACCAAAGTTAGGTTTCTGCATTAAGCTTGATGTTCCAGTTAAGTGAGAGACAAGTTGCTGTTGAGAATTATTTACCAATCTATTCTGACTACTAACATCCCAAATCACGTAAATTGGGTATGCACATGAGATTTAAATTAATATTTGTACTATCAGACATGCGCACTCAACCCACTTTTTGTTTTCACAATTACTATTGTATTTGTGTATATAATTGAGTGTTTTTATAATTTACAAAAATATGTGTATAAATGTTACACACACACACACACACACACGTGTTTCCCTGACTGTTGGTCTGACTCTCATTGTTTAATTCTGTTACTTCTTTTTGAGGCAAATTCCTGTAAGTGGAATAACTTCGTCAAACATTCAGAAGTTTTTAGTGCTTGGATTTCTTCCAGCTGTTTCCCAGCAGCAGCACACAGTCCCCTGAATGAAGGGTCGGGGGGAAACTCATTAAACAGAACAGCATTGCTCAAATTCTTGTCATCATAATGTTAAGGAGCATGGTGGTTCCCCTGGTTCAGTTGGTACACATGGATGTATTGAGCTACTGCACTTCAGCTCATAAATATGTATAATTATCAATACATTTTTAAAAAGAATGTGTATTCTGATAATTTGTGTAGTAGTCAGAAATACGTATGTAGCGCTCATTGATATTTACAAGAAGCAAAAAGATCTTTGCAACATTACTGCGTTATAAATTTTTTTTATATTTGCAATAATTTTTCATATTGAAAATAATGTAACTATTTAATGTTAACCATTTTTCAGCTTTTGTGAATGTTTAGGACTTTTCCATGCTCCTAGGAATTGTCATATTTTCTCATTGAGCTGTAGTGATTCAACCAGTGCTCGGGAACAGCTGTGGAATGTATATTTTTTCCCACATTTCAGTGTGCCTAGTAAACTTCAGTATTTTTTAAATTACCAAAGGCAGGTCCCAGAGTTAACTTGGAATTGGGGTTGTGGGTCAAGGCCATGATTAGGTTATGGGTCCCATGAGCTCAGTTTGCAGGGTCCCGGAGAACTGCACCTGAAGGCCTCACAGAGCCTGGCGCTCTGGACTCGAATTTATGCCATACGTAAAGGTGAAAATTGGAGTCTAACTGATCTCCACATACAAAAAGAGGTTTTAGATTTTTTTTTAATTGGAAAGGTGGATATACAGAGAGGAGAGACAGACAGGAAGATCTTCCGTCCAATGATTCACTCACTCCCCAAGTGACCACAACGGCCGATACTATGCCAGTCCGAAGCCAGGAGCCTCTTCTGGGTCTCCCACACGGGTGCAGGATCCCAAAGCTTTGGGCCGTCCTCGACTGCTTTCCCGGGCCACAGGCAGGGAGCTGGATGGGAAGCGGGGCTGTGGGGATAGAACCGGTGCCCATATGGGATCCCGGGCGTGCAAGGCGAGGACCTTAATCACTTGCGCCACCACGCTGGGCCCGAGGTTTTAGATTTTAATAAAGACAAATCATTGTTCCTTTCACCTGTTCCAAATTGAGAAACAGAAAAGTAATACAACCAGGACCATACATTTGAAATTGGAAGATACATGGAAGATACATGGAAGATACATGGTTGTGACTGTGAGTGATAAAGCTTTCCAATATTGCACTGTTGAAGAATATGCGAGCATTACACACAGTGTTGTTATGACAGTGAAAATGACTTTGAATTCTCAGCAGTCATTTACAGATTTATCTTAAAAATAATCAAGGGTTCATGCCCTTTTATGCTGCATATACTTAGGAATTTGACAACCCTTCTTGTATATCTGATTACTATTTTTTTTCAAAAAGCTAATTTTTAAGGTTTATTTTTAAAGATGTATTTATTTTTATTAGGAAGTCAGATATACAAAAAGGAGGAGAGACAGAGAGGAAGATATTCCATCTGATGATTCACTCCCAAAGTGACTGCAACAGCCGGAGCTGAGTCAATCTGAAGCCAGGAACCAGGAGGTTGGTTCTTCCAGGTCTCTTATGTGGGTGCAGGGTCCCAAGCTTTTGTCCATCTTCGACTGCTTTCCCAGGCCAAAGCAGGGAGGTGGATGGGAAGTGAGTTTGCTGGGATTAGAACCAGTGCCCATATGGGATCCTGGCATGTTCAAGATGAGAACCTTAGCTGCTAGGCTTCCATTCCAGGCCCCCAAAAGCTAATTTTTTAATAACTTGTTTAATTTGTCATTAATCTTTTCCAACCATAGGCTCAATGAGGAATGTGCTAGGGGCACATGGAACAAGTTATGCAATGTTGGGCAGCTGTTTAGTTATTTTGTTAGTTAATTCTTTAATATCTGCTTCTCAGATTTCTTATCTGAAAGTGGGCATAATTCAGACTGTGAGAATTAAAAATGTCCCTAACAAAGCAAAAGCACGAAGCACGTATCCTTCTAAAATGAGGCATCACCTCTGGTAGTTCCTGTTAGCTGGAGCTTGGTATACTAGGATTGAAGAAGGTTAGGGCTCTTAGAATATCTTTGCAATTTCAAGTTCCTTCATGAATATTTGCTTGATTGAATCTGACTTTCATAGAGACTTTTTAGGGAGGCTCCTGTGATCTGTGCAACTGAGAGGAAGGCCAGAGGCTTCTCTGCCTCGCGGCGGGCCTCATTCCTCAGCAGGGACATTCATTAAACACTTACCAACATCCTGTAACAGATGAAACAGGGCAGCATATGCTTTGGTGTGGTTTATAGTTCATCAGGAAATATTTCAGAAATTAGGTTATGCAATACCTTTCTTATTCCCTACTGTTATCTGTAAATAGAGAAGTTTATAAATATTTAGTTTTCATAAATAATGAAAGGTTACACACAACCAGAAATTACTCCAAAAAACATGATGCATATCATGACTTTAATTTTGGACAATTACATCTGTTTACAATGTCAATATTTCTTACAGGATACAAATGCTGAAGTTACCGAGAATTAAGAAAATACTGCTCTCTTTAAAAACAAAACAAAAACAAAAACAAAAATTGGGGCTGGCACTGTGGCACAGGTCCTCCAACATAGTGAATGCTCAATTGGGTCTGGATTTCTTTTGCTTCATTTATTAAGACAAGATTTGATCCAATTTGCAAATGAGATGTAAAAGTCTATTTGCCCCATGCTGCCAGCTGACTTCTGTGACGTCATGTGATGTGATTAATACAAAAACTAACATTAAGAGAAGTGGAGGCATTGTTTACTGCCGTTCCAGAGATTGCATTGCTGAGGGAAGTTTCATTAGAAATGCTAACATAAAGCTTGCATTTAAGAAAGTTGTGGGCCAGTGTTGGGGTATATCAGGCTAAGCCTTGGCTGCTCCACTTCTGAATCATCCACCTGCTAATGTGCCTGGGAAAGCAGCAGAAGATTGCCCAAGTTTAGTTTAGTTTTCATAAATAATGAAAGGTTACACGCAACCAGAAATTACTCCAAACAACATGATGCATATCATGACTTTAATTTTGGGCAATTAAATCTGTTTACAATGCCAGTATTTCCTACAGGATACAAATGCTGAAGTTACAGAGAATTAAGAAAAACAAAGACCCATGAGGGAGACCAAGAAGCTCTCGGTTCCTGACTTTGGCCTGGCTCTGGCCTGATCATTGCAGCTATTTGTTGAGTTACGACAGCGAAATGGAAGTTTTCAGTCAGTGCGTGGAAGGTTTTTTTCTCTGTAACTATGTGTTTTAAAAAAAAAACTTAAAAAAAAAAAACCTCTTGCCTTATATATAGAACTTTTCAACAATGAAGGTTTTGTAGAGCTAAGTAAAAAATGTTTTCTTGATGACAAAAAATGAATTAAGAAATATATATTCTTATTGTTTGAATCACTCTTGAGCGTGGCTGTTTGTGATGTGGGAAAGGCAGAGGATGGACCTTGTGTGCCAGCCCTCCTGGGATGCTGCTGAGGGGCCTGGCAGGTGGCGCCTCGGCGTTTCCCCACGGAGGGCTCCCCATGGACACAGCCTCCTTCGCTCTCTTCCTGCAGCTCATCAGAACCGGGTGACTGCGATCATCTTCAGCTTGGCCACGGAGTGGGTGATCAGCACCGGCCACGACAAGTGTGTCAGCTGGATGTGCACCCGCAGCGGGAACATGCTGGGCCAGCATTTCTTCACTTCCTGGGCGTCGTGCCTACAGTATCCTTCCATGTTCCCCTGCCCTCTCCTTCCCTCAGTAGTTGGTTTCCAGGTTGAACATATATTGTTCATTGAGACTGAACGATTCATTCATATTCATCTAAACTCCAAACACTTGCATGTCTTCTTTGGTATAAAATGTTTCTCAGTGATAATGATTAGTTGAATTGCTATTCTGTTTTCAGAAATACAGTGCAATGAAAGTCTTCCAATCTAAATGTAAATTTACTAGTGGAGAAGTTTGCATTAATAAGGCATGGGTTTTCCAGTTATTCATTAAAAATATACTGTACTGATCTTGTAGTCATTGGGTATATGCTACAAACCTTACAAGAAAATAAACCAAATAATAAGATTTTTCACCCCGGGATTCATAAGTGGACTGTAAAGCATTTCAGGATAACGTGTTTCATGCTTGCACACACTTTTAATTCTAATTCAGAATTCCTCAAAATGTTAAATATTGCTGCTTAAAAAGTTCCCAGTTATTATATGGCATTTTAAAGCTTTGCAAAAGTGTATCTCTACTTGCTGTGTATCTTAGCGACAGAGAGGTCAAGGCTGCCATGGGCAGGCTATGTCCCTGCACTAATTTCTCTCCCAGGGTCAAATGTTTGGCGTAGTAGTATTCTTTCCATTGACGACCTGTATTTAAAATGTGTGCCACAAATTAACTCTTGTATTTAAAATGTTTACTACTTATAAATATTTAAAATGAGCATTCAGGATGGTACCCTGTGCTTTAGGATCAGAGAAGGGAAACATTGATAGATTGTGTGATAGAAAGTGTTTCTGTTGTGCAACAGATTTGTGGAAGCTGGCACAAAGTGACGTAGTCAGGACGTGGCTTGCTGTGCTCCTTCTGAAGTTTGTTTTGGAATGTTAGCAGTTATTATGCTGCAAATAGCAGATATCCTGTTGTATGTAAGTGACTGCTTTCCCACAAGTCTGTACAACCACAAACCAAGAACATAATGAATTGTTACTAATTGTTAATGTATTTTTAAAAATTTTAATGTATATGTACCATATATAACTGCTTTTTGAGTAATGAATAATTCTCTGCATTTAAAACTAAATGCCAGACCAAATGCTAGACCAAAAGCCAGACAAGATTTATGTCCTGTGTTTATTGTCAGTTTTATATTATTTGTGGAGGAGATATTTCATTAGCTGTTTTGTTCCTGCGCTGTTTTCATTAGTGAGCACTCTTCCTTGTTTGCACTTGATTGTAACAATTGTTTTCATGTCTGTCTGCTCTCCTAGCTCTTAGGGTTTTTATTTCCTGGCAGTTCCTTAGGATACTGCTTGATGTGCTAATTGGAGCCCAGTGGATTCCTGTTAAATGAGTGTTAGCTTTCCTGGCAATTTCAGTTGTTTCGTAGAAGTTTCCACTAGATGTTTCCCTTCTATTTACACTTTAGGTTAAGGCTTATTCTCTGTGAGATGGACGGTCTTGTAACTGACCAAAGCGCTGCACTTCCCCCGGGAGGGGGGAGGGGTGGATTTGTTAGATGCCCTTGACTGCTGTTCCTCAGGTATGATCATGACACTCAGTATGCTTTTGTTGGCGACTATTCCGGGCAAATCACCCTGCTGAAGCTGGAGCGGAACTCCTGTTCAGTTATTACAACACTCAAGGGACATGAAGGTAGGCTGCACCCTCGCATCTGAAAATCCAGTGAAGATAGGGTGTGGAGTGGGTTTAATGTTACCAAAACCCTTTCTAAATTGCTTAGGTGAATAATACTTTACACGTTGCTTACTTTTTGAATTTAAGTTACTGATTTCAAAAGCCCTTTAAAGTTTCCTTCAAGTTGCAAGGCCTTGGGTGGAATTGTTATTAACGTTGTTTGGTTTTGTTTTGATTTGTCAGATTCGAGGACTCTAAACAAGACTTAATAGATCGCACAGTTAGAAGAAATGTATGGGCTGGTTCCATCTCTGCGGACCATACCGAGAAGGCACCAAGGGAGAAAAATTCCTGGGTGGGATTTTTTATGGAGCAGAGTTGTGGTGGGGCCTTAAAACGCCATTGGCTCTTTTGAATAACTTGCTCTATACACACATATGCATAATCCAGAATCTTATTGTATGCTCAAACCTACTGTAATGCAATCTTTATTCCAGTCCCAAGGTCTCATTCTGATGTGACTTGCTTTGAGATAGAAGAACCTGGGGTTTATTAAAAGAGTTCAATGATGTACTTATACCACTAGTTACCACTTTAACAAGTTAAAGGTACTCAGTGTTTTCTATTTTGGGTGTAAGAGGGACTCTGCAGGGGGAAAAGAAAAAAAAAACAAACCAGCAAGTTAGAATAGATCTAGCCAGGAAAGCAGAGGCCCCTTTAAAAACCACTTTCTATTTATGACTGATAATCTCATGAGTCCCAAGTGCTTAAGGATTCTCTGAGTTGCTGAGGGAAGATGGTTTCTGGTAACTACTTAGTCATTTTTAAATTGGAGAAGCCATATTTAGCTGCTCTTCTGCCTCTAGCGGAAGTGCTTGGGATGTGGGATTAAACAGGATGAGAATTCCTGACCACTGTCGCCACTTTTACAGAATATGTCATCATTTTCATTTCTCTGTGCTTTCTATGTTTTTGAGAACTTTATGTGTGAAACTTGTTTCTGTTCAATGTTGTTTTATTAGTTTCCAATATTAAACTTATATGACTCTCAATTTTATGAAGTTTAACAATGCCTTTTTTCTAGCAAACAAGTCAGTTTAAAATTAGGAAATATGTTGAAAGAGAAACTGCAAACTAAGGATATTGAATTTCTTAGCCAAAGTAGAGTATGGAATATAGGATTTAGATTTCTTTTAATCTAAGTTATTTGGCATAATCATATGGTGTATTTGCAACCCTCTGTCTTCCAAGCAAGGCATTTAATTGAATTTTCTTTTTTAAAAAGCATTGTGTATTTATTTGAAAGGCAGAGTTACAGAGTATAGGATAGATAGAAATGTTCTGTCAGCTGGTTCACTCCCCCAGATAGCCACAACAGCCAGCACTGGGCAGGTTAAAGCCATGAGCTAGGGGCTTCATTTGGGTCTGCCAGGTGGGTGGCATGGGCCCAAGCATTTGGACCATCTGCGTTGTCTCCAGGTGTATTAGTGGGGACCTGGATCCGAAGTGCAACAGTCAAGACGAAAACTGGCACCTTTGTAAAGCCCTATGGCAAAGCACGGCCTCTGAGTTGCCTTAGTGTAAAATGCTAGAGAGTCCCGGAGCCCTGGAATACTGTAGACTTTTATCTAGTACAACAAGAAAATCATACTGGCAGTTTCTACTGGATGTTAGCTGCATTTTTCCCCCCCTAAAGACCTTTCTGAACTGACAGTTCATATATAACTGTTTATTGTTACAGTACAAGGAGGACTTTCTTTGAGAATCTCTATATGAATATAAAAAGTGATTTGAGGTACAGTTGAAAAATCCCAGTTTGGACAATGGATGTGCGATGTGTTTTCTGTGTGTCTGAAGATCACTTGGTTGAATGACTTGTTATACAGTGAGGATATATTCTTATTTGAGAACTCAGGTGGTCCTCGTTCTGTCCTGATGAGGTCTACACTCAACCTATCTTAAAATCCCTAGGTAGCATCGCCTGCCTGTGGTGGGACCCCATTCAGCGGTTACTCTTCTCAGGAGCATCTGACAACAGCATCATCATGTGGGACATCGGAGGCAGGAAAGGCCGGACGCTCTTGCTTCAGGGTCATCAGTATGTGACCATTCCTGGGGAGAGGAAAGAATATGAGTTGTCAGGGGGCCAGGGTGTTGGTGCTTAGCTACCACTTCTCTAAGCCTTGTCTTTTAAAGCAAGCACGTGATAGAATTCCACCCACTTCTGTCTGCTTCCCCTCAAATTCTAAGAGACCAGTGCTTAGAGGAGGCGGAGGGTGTACTACAAGGCTTTCTTGCACGTGTCACTTCTCTCTGCCAAGGAGCTGCCTTGTTGAAGTATGTGTGTTCAAGCGAGGTAGGAGTTAGAGATTGCGGGTGACAACTTCAACCTTGCAAAAGTATGTGTCATGCAGTACTACGCTATTCTTGACCTGGTTGTCTAAACTCCTTTTTGTTCTAAAATACATTTCATTCAGATGTAGTGTCATATTTGCCTAAGTTCCAACATTGTAATTCTGGGGCTCTTCTGATTTTGAACAGGAAAGGAATGTAACTCCCCTCCCCCAGCCCGGCCTCTTTTTCTTTCCTCTTTGTTCATTAGGCTGTAGCTGTTTGCTGTAATAACAGTCAAATTGACAGCCAGCCAAGGAAAGGTTCTGTGCAAAAGTAAACAGGCCAGAAGGTTGTTTTCAGACATCCAGAGGCCAGTCCAACCAGCACATAGGAAGGGGGCAGGTTCCTTTAACTATGACTGTGGGATAAGCCAACGTTTATGTACTGGAATCCCTGTTGCATACAAAGCAGTCAGTGATAAAATGCCACTTGCTTATTCAGGTGAGAGGAGAGCTGTGGGTATAAATGAAGACAGTTCCTGTTTTGCCTTAATGAGTCAAGTAACCCTTGTGTGTGCTGTCTGCAGTGACAGGGTCCAGTCGCTGTGCTACCTGCAGCTCACGAGGCAGCTGGTCTCCTGCTCCTCAGATGGTGGGATTGCGGTCTGGAACATGGACGTTAGCAGAGAAGAGGTAAGACTGGAGCAGGTGCAGCTGGCCAGGAGAGAGGGTCGGAAGCTGGCTTCTCAGCGCCCCTCCCCTGCGGGCTGTAGATAGCAGTCGTGAGTGGGACTGCCCCAGCTTCTCAACATACTGCCCATGGATGGTTGTCTGACAGGGTCCTGCGTGTCATTTTGCACTGCCTGCTCTGCGCTCTTGAGAGCCTGCACCCCTGATGGGCCTACATGGTGTCAGCGTGCAGGCTGATTGACGTGGAGACACACGGTCTCCCAGCACATCCAGGGGCTTGGGCCGCGCGGCAGTCCTCCGGAGCACTCTTACACTTACCTAGCATTCCTGTGTGGAAACCTGAGAAGTGTTTCCCTGGCAACTGTCAGGGACCTTGGTAGGCAGTTGATTCCCCCCCCCCCCCAAGAAAATGTCTCTGTTTCTCTGCTTTTGTTTTCCATGAAGTTCTGTTCCATTCAGTTCATGCTGACATCATGTCGTTTTCCAGGCACTTGGTTTCCAGCTGGGCCCGGTTAGGATGAGTGCTTTAACTTCTCAGCATCTGTTCCCTCTTTCATAAAATGAGCTGGTGGAGTAAGGTGGCTTCTGAGCCTCTTCATTGCCTCAGTGACACCACTCTGACCAGCCACACGATCATTCTGCCGTATTTCAAGCAATTCTGTAGTGTACTTGTGGTCTTTTGTTGTGTGATCCACTGTTGATTTCAGAAAGATTTCTGAAAATACAACTTCTGGGTCCAGGAATGTGGTTCGTTCTGAGGCTTCTATAGATGTCATCCCAGGATTTCCCGTACTCATTTCTGCTGTTCCTTGTGTGTGTGTGTGTGTGTGTGTGTGTGTATCTTTTTAAAGATTTATTTATCTTTATTGGGAAAGCAGATATACAGAGAGGAGGATCTTCCAGCCACAAAGGCTGGAGCTGAGCCAATCTGAAGCCAGGAGCCAGGTGCTTCTATTGGGTCTCCCACATGTGTGCAGGGTCCCAAGGCTTTGGATCGTCCTCAGCTGCTTTCCCAGGCCACAAGCAGGGAGCTGGATGGGAAGTGGGGCTGCTGGGGTACAAACTGGCACCCATATGGGATCCCGTGTTACTTGTGTTTTCTAAAGAGCATCTATAGCTTTTGATTTCGATAGCAAAAGAAGTGATTCCAGTGAAGATTTTAGAGTATTAAAGATATTTTACTTCACTAGTATATATTGAGCACCTGCAATTTGGATAGCCGGACGATCTGGAAGTGTGGATGCCTGTGATAACTGGTATATTGATGTTGTGTCGCAATACTTGTAATATGTGATGTCATGCATTGGTCAGTGAAGTCACAGCACTTGTTTGATGTCACATGTTGGTGCAGTGTAGTTACAGTACCTGTGTGCGATGTCACACATTGGTTCACATTGAATCAGCGTAGTCATAGTACTTGTGCTGTGCGATATCGCGCATTAGTTCAGTGTGGTCACAGCACTTGTGAGATGTCACATGTTGGTTCGATGTGGTCACAGCACTTGTGTGATGTCACGTGTTGGTTCAGTGTGGTCATAGCACTTGTGTGATGTCACATGTTGGTTCAGTGTGGTCACAGCACTTGTGTGATGTCACATGTTGGTTCAGTGTGGTCATAGCATTTGTGTGATGTCACATGTTAGTTCAGTGTGGTCACAGCACTTGTGTGATGTCACGCATTGGTTCAGTGTGGTCATAGAACTTGTGTGATGTCACATGTTGGTTCAGTGTGGTCACAGCACTTGTGTGATGTCATGTGTTGGTTCAGTGTGGTCACAGCACTTGTGTGATGTCACGCATTGGTGCAGTGTGGTCATAGCACTTGTGTGATGTCACGTGTTGGTTCAGTGTGGTCACAACCCTTGTGTGATGTCACGCATTGGTGCAGTGTACTCTTACGGCAGACCCTGAATGCAGGAGCTGACTTCCCACCGACCCTTGCCCATGAGCCTGCTTTGTTTTGCCTCTGATTGTGAGTCTAATCGTCACTGAATAAACCTTACCCCAAGAGAAATAATCAAGGGAGTTTGATCTTTTTAAAAACATGTGACATTACTCATTTCCAGGCCTTGTGGCTGCCGTCTTTCGTATAAAGAGATCCTTATCCTTGAGAAGCACGTGGTGTAGTCCAGACACAAACTGCTCTGTAAATAATGACATGCAGTCATGGTGCAGAGATGTCCTGCTTGCTGGAACTGTAGACTGTTAGTGCCTGATAGGACAGGTCCCAGTGGATGAATTTCAGTGAACTATGCACTGGAAGATTTTTCTTTTTGAATTTTCTAAGCAAAAAATTGGTAACTTATCAGACATACATTAGTTCAGTATTTCAGCATGTATAATTTCTTTGAGCTGTGTTTCATACTTGCGAGCCACTAGTTAGCTGCTGTACACTCAGAAACACGAGGGCACTGCTCCATTTTCTTCCATTTTGTTCTGACAGAGCAGCAAATTCAGAGAACAAGTGTTCCCTGCGCCAAGAACGTCAAAGACCTCCGTAGCCCAGGGCTGCCGTAGCATTGGCAGTGGAGGTTGCGATGTGCTCTTGTTCTCAGGGATCAGTTCTTTCAGTAAAAGTACTTAGATTCCTACCTTCAATGCAGTGTACTTGTGAAATGTATCTGCATGTCTAGGGAGAGTCAAGGTGCTTCCTGTGTGGTCGGTTCATGCAGTTCCAGTCATCTGTCGGGGAGGTAGGGAAGCAAACCGTGTTTAGAAGGCACAGTATTTTTAGTAAGGTTTCTTTTTTACTAGTTGAGTAAATGTAGCACTAGACAAGCAGCATGGGATCTCTTTAAGCATGTCCAAAATAAGAAATAGGAAGTCTAAAAGCTTTGATGCAATAGGAAACAAAATAAAGAACCAGGACCATTCATCTGTTAAGCCACCAAACTCCCTCGAGAGCCTCTGTCAGTCTACCCATCAACACTGCGTGCTTTTGAAATGTAGGTATTATTTAGAAAGTCTGATTCTACTGTCATCATCTCCTTTTAACGCATTTCCCCCTGACTATTAACTTTAAAGATGAAAAGAAAGCTATTGCATTTTCTTGAATCAGTTTATAAGATACTATTTCCTACTATTTTTATTGATCTGTGTGACCCTAAGTGGAGTTAAACAAACTTTTAACAGGTTTCAGTTTAGACTTAAATACAGTTTGTGTTTTGTTCAGAGAAAGAATTTTTAAGTTCTTAATACATTTTGGGACTTTGATTTATTGTGTTTGGATTTTTTTTAGCTTTTTAAAATTTTATTAATATACAGAGAACAGATTTCATGCATTCAGTGTAATTCCGAGGAGACAACCCGACTTCCCTCACTCCCCGGATTCCTCCCCTGCAGTCCCCTTGTGTTCCTCTCTTTTTTTTGTCAGTTTTTAGACATAATTTTATTTTTTAAGACAATTTCTTTTTGTTCTTCCTGTATCTGAGAGAGGGGGGATATAATGGGAGAGACTATACCCAGCCTCCCAACTGCCTCAGTACCCAGTGTCATCCCAGGGTCCCCACTGTCGAGCATGTTCTGAGAGTTCTGTTCTAGTTGTTTGGATAGTTCTGAGATGCTGTTGATATTGATGAGGATGAGGAAATTCTTCCAAGGTCAACTGGCTGACATAGCCCATCTCAGGGTTTCTGTTCGCCCAGAAGTTTGCTTGTGACGTTTGCTGTCAAGCTTCACTGGGGTAGTTGTCCAATTTGTTCGGCCCTCCTTGCTCTACAAACCAGTAAATGCTGTGGCCCAGCCTAGCCCTGCCAACCATACACTTGGCCCTCAAGTTCACTAGGGGGAGCTACAGCCCAATCAGAGCAACTGCCAGTTACCACCACTGGACTGGCCCCCAGCTCTGGTTCCTGTGCCTGCCAGCTTGTGCAGTGGATTGGTCCTGTCTGTTCCACATCCCACTCAGAACTTGTATACATCATTGGGCACTGAAGCCTACTTAACCCAACTGACTCCACCCTCCATGTGAGCGAGTGCCACTGCCTGTCCAACCAGGCCTACCCCAATTCTCACCAGTGGGAGCTGCAGCTCATCAGAGAGGTACCCCACAGCCTCCTCACTGGACCCAGTCACTACCCTGGACCTTACACACTCCAGGTGGTTCTGCAGTCTAGCTTGATAGGACTTGTTCCCAGTCTCAGCACTTGCCAGCTGATGCTGTGGCAAAACCCGACCAACCTGCACTTACTCTGGCTTGTGCCTGTACCAGTGGGTACAGTTGGTTAACCTGTTCTGCCCCAGTCCCAGCTCTTACACTCACCACCAGGAGCAGTGACCCAGCAGGGGAGTCCCCACTACTCCCCTACCAGGTTTACCCCCAGCTCCAGTCTCATGTGTGCTAGCAGGAGCTGCCTCCCAACCTGGTACAGTCAGCCCTGAGTCCCAGCCCTAATGTGAACTGACTGGTGCCACAGCCAGACTCAGCCTGTCCTGCCACCATCCTGATTCTCAGATCTGCCAATGGGTGTTATGAACTGACTGACTCATCCTGGCCTGCCCCCATATCTGAGCCACATGTGTGCTGGCAGGTACTATAACCTGGTCTGGTCTGGGCTACTCCTTGCCTCGGTTCTGCGAGTAACAGAAGGGAGTGAATTTGGACCTCTCCAGTCTATGAGCTGCTGCCCCGTAGGTGCTCCCAATTGGTGGTTCATCAGATGCTCCAAGAAATGAGTTTCTGCTCAGTGGGATATAGAGCTCAACAATTTTGGCATAGAAAAGAAATACATAAAGACAACATTTAAGAGATCATAATCAAAACTGAATTCTTTCCTTTTGGCTATAGAGTGTAAGAGAAGTATTCTATAAGCATTGGTAAAATTGTAACAATTACTCAAAGCACTAGCATAATATTGAGCATGGTAACCAAGTGAGTTAAGTGTTAAGGAGCAGAACTGGGATATTTTTTTAAATTTTTTTTAAAGATTTATTTTATTTTTATTGGAAAGGCGGATATACAGAGAGGAAGATCTTCCGTCCGATGATTCACTCCCCAGGTGGCTGCTGTGGCTGGAGCTAAGCCAATCCAAAGCCAGGAGCCTCCTCCGGGTCTCCCACGCGGGTACAGGATCCCAAAGCTTTGGGCCGTCCTCGACTGCTTTCCCAGGCCACAGGCAGGGAGCTGGATGGGAAGCGGGGCTGCCGGGATAGAACTGGTGCCCATATGGGATCCTGGGGCATGCAAGGCGAGGACTTTAACCACTGCGCCACGGTGCCGGGCCCCAGAACTGGGATATTACTGACTAAAAAGGTCAGTTGAAACATCCACAAGCATTAAAGTTGGCTTTGGCCTTGTCCTCCCATCTCCCAGGCTCCTCAGTGGCTGGAGAGCGACTCTTGTCAGAAATGTGAGCAGCCCTTTTTCTGGAACATAAAGCAGATGTGGGACACAAAGACGTTGGGAATGCGACAGGTGAGTGGCGGTGCTGGACCATCGCTGGATCTCATGCATTTTGTTATTTGTGTAATTCATGTCTTTGTGTGTTTCCTTTTTAAAATCACATTTGTAAAAAAAAAAAATCACATTTGTTTTTGAAAATGCTATTGATTTCTACATATTTAAAAATCACTATCATTGTACTACTGCAACTCACGATGAATAAACCTTTCACAGGGCCAGCAAGAATGTTACCTGGCTATTCCATTGCATTCCTACATTGGGAAAACAGGGCTGCAGGGAAAGTCCAGAGAGCCTGTTCTGAAATGGCCAAGGTTCCTGAGAGATGGGCTTTGGTTTAGGGTTTCAGACATTGGTTGGTCTGCCCACGTTTTGTTTCAGAGTGCCTGCTTTCCACTGCTGACTTCAGCTTCATGGTATTGCACATCCTGGTAGGTCACAGTTGGTGGCTCAAATACTCACAGCCCCGGCACTCACACTGCAGACCCTGATTGTGTTCCCAGCGCTCGGATTCGGCCTGCTGTAGCTCCACTGGCTCCTGGTGGGCATTGGGGAAGTGAACTAGGAGATAGTAACTAATTCTCAACTAATTCTCTCTCAGCTCTGTCACTTCTCGCCCCTCTCCCTTCTGTCTTTTCGCCCCTCTCCCTCTTCCTTGTCTCTGTGCTTTCAAAATTAAAACTCCTATTTAAAAAAAAAGAACAGCTCTTTCAGTCCCAAACAAAAAGTAATAATCTGCTCGTTGCTGGGATACTCAAACCCTATGGGTTTCAGATTATTCTGAATTGTTCCATTGTAAGTATACCTGAAGCATATAAATGTATGCAGCAGCCTTGAAGGTAATCACTTATTCAGGGTGAATATAAATTTGTGCAGGTGAGCAAAAGATGCTAATTTTATTTCCCTTATTACTACTGGTCGTACCTCTAGGGAGATTCGCCTGCAGTTTATATTTATTAATAAACTTATTTGGTTATACTCATACTCATAAAGCTGTTCTATAGTAACTTTGATGTGGGACTTTATATATATTTACACACACACACACACACACACACACACACACACACACACACAGGACTAGTTGCAATGCAGGGGTTATTCTAGCCCTCATGGTGTTCTCACATGCCTGTCGAGTGGTAGCTGGTGCTTTGTAATTAATGGCGAAGTGTTGAAGTATCTCCTCTTTCTAAAGGATACCGCTAACAACTAGTAGAAAAAGTCCCAGTCACTAAAGTTTTATTGGTTTAAAAAAATGTTAAAACCAGTACTTGTGACTGCACTATTTGGGGGTTTTCTAAAACATTTGCAAAAATCATAATTTGAAAGATTAAAAGAAATAGCAAATGTGTGATTTTGAATATTTGCTTTTTTTTTTAAACTGTTAAATATATCTTTTTTTAATTGATTACATTGCATTATGTGACACAGTTTTATAGGCACTGGGATTCCCCCCTCCCCTCCTCAAAACCCGCAGCCTTCCCCATGGTGGATTCCTCCACCTTGTTGCATTACCACAGTTCAAATTCAGTTGAGATTCTTTCATTGCAAGCATCTACAAAGCATAGAGTCCAGCATCTTATTGTCCAGATAAGTTCATCTCTGGTCTGAAGGTAGAACCGACAGAATATCATCCCAATCAATTAAAAGCCCCGATATTACATCAGTAACAATTTATAACGTAATGGAATTAGTTGACATGGTATTGCGTAACCAACATGTTAAAAGAGAGAAAAACAAACAAAGTGCAAGTTCTGAACCACATCCTATGACTTCTGCATTGACATTTTTTTTATTATTGATTACATTGCATTATGTGACACAGTTTTATAGGCACTACATTGACATTTCAATTATTCGTTTATATATAACTGGGTTCTATACACCTTAAAATGGCTATAGATTACTATTCAGCTGTTTCATGTCTATTTTAATTTTAGTATTTAGCATTTCATAGCATTGAAGCATGATTTTGCAGAACCTGGCTGTTTTTCAGGTAGTCTAACTCTATAACTCTAACAAGGCATATGTCAACAGTTTAGGTGAACAGTTTTAGGAGGGGTGTGCAGAGAAATCTTCAATACCCAGGTAAGGAGTAACTAATCTTTGTGTCCCACCCAGTGAGTTATCAGTGCATCCCCACTGCCCATTTCCTGTCTGTTTCTAAGCTTTCCTTGCTGTTCTTGGTCTATCTATTCTAGTTTTTTTGTTGTTGTTTATTTGTTTGTTTGTTAGTTTGTTTTGAGGGGTTTCTGGAGCTATCCTGATGGCCATTACGAGAGAGGGCAGGGACCCAAAGTCTGAACCAGGCAAGGACCAGAGAAAGCTCCTCTCCCTAGTCCCGAAGGAAGTTTACTGTTCTGTTTCTGCAGACCACTCAGTGCTCCTGGTTGTTGTTCCGATGACCTTGGATCCTGGAAAGCAGGATTTGGGCTTCTTCCATCCCATGCGGTAGATCCAAATGGGGGTGGGTGACCTCAGAGTTCTTGGCCTCCGAAGGCACTCCAATTCCCCGTGGTCTGCTTTGTAGTTGGGATGTAGTCCTCGGAGCTCATACTGATAGTCCTTGGTGAGGATCTGGGAATCTTCAGGGTTGGGATACAAGCTTCTCCTGTCTGCCTGCTCCACTCTGGGGTCCCCCCTGCTCTGTGCATATGACCTCCTGTTAAGAGGTTGTTGGGATTGCTCCTGATTCCCCCCATATGCCTTTGTAGTTTTGCTATTGTCTAATGCTGATTTGAGTCTGTTGTCTATGAGTTACCAGTTATGATCCTGGTAGGTTATACTTCCCATCTTCCTCACACCTTCTAGGGTGATGTAAGATTTCTCTGCTCTCCTTTACTATTTCCAAGTAGAATATTTGCTTCTTAATGAAGTTGATATACATTTAAAAAGGCCTAATCCATTCAAAGCTTATTTTAAAATTCCACCCTCCTTTGTGGAGTGATTAAGTTCTTAACTGAACTTGAACTTAGTTTTAATGTTGGACATGTAGATAGCTAACAAGTGGAACTATTCGGCCATTAAAGTGAGGTTATTTGGAAATCCTTGACTGGTGGATGCGTTGAACCGAGGTGATCACAATTCAAGGCATGCCTTCTCCACTCGTGCTGCCTTGCTCTGAGGAAAGGCTGTGGGGCTGAAAGCAGAGACTAACCTGCTGTGTCCCTTCTTCCTGTCACCCTGGAAGCATCACTGCAGGAAATGCGGGCAGGCTGTCTGTGGGAAGTGCAGCAGTAAGCGGTCCAGCTACCCTGTCATGGGCTTCGAGTTCCAGGTCCGCGTCTGTGATTCCTGCTATGACTCCATCAAAGACGAAGAGTGAGTGTTCGTCCATCGCTTTGTCTTACTGTGTCTTACCACATCTGTCTGCCTCGTAAAGACCCTGAGAAATGATAACGACGTGTTTGTACGTGTGCGTTTGTCTCTTCCGAATTATGTAAAACATCTCTGTTCTAGTCTTATGGCGACTGCTGTTTTATCTGAAGCTGGCCTCCTTGGCCTGAACACTGTGAGGAATGCTAGCATGAGTCCAGTAATGGAGTGGATGTTCCCGAGTCCCTGTGTCCCAGCATGCTGTGTAGGACATGCACAACAGTGGCTGAGCTGACTCTGCTGAAGCATCAAGAACTGCAACCTTTGCTCATGTGGAAACATAAATGTAATTGCTGAGAAAACTCAAAAGACCAATGTTCTTTCTTCCACAAAAATCTACCTTGGGACATTATTTACTTTTATGTAACTACTTGAGTAAGACACATCTGTATGAAAACCTAGCCACCGCTTTCTTTCCTCTTCCTCTGAGTCATATTTTAAAGTGCAGGTGGAAAATTCCTGTTGCCTAGAGACATCATAGCCATGGTATGCTCAGATAAACAAATCGCATTGTGTTAGAGTTGCCTACAGGATCCAGCACAGCATCCTGCTCCATGTTTGTTGTACAGGGGCGGCAGGATGTTCCACTCGCCCTTGATGTGTAGTAGGTGGCACAATCTAGTTTGGGTAAGTGAATTTCTTGGTGTTGGCAATGACAAATTTGCCTAATGACACACTTCTCAGGTGACTTTAGTAGATGCTTTTTATAAAAAGATTCATTTGTTTTAAAATATCTTTTTTGGATTTGTTTATTTTTATCTGGAAGGCAGATTTTAAAAAGAGAAAAGGAGAGTAAGAGAGAGGTCTTCCATCAGCTGGTTCGTTTCCCAAGTGACTTCAGTGGCCAGAGCTGAGCCAACACAAAGCCAGGAGTTTCTTTCAAGTCACCCACATGGGTTCATGGGCCCAAGGACTTAAGCCGTGCTTGGCTGCTTTCCTAGGCCGTAAGCAGGAAGCTGAATGGGAAGCCTAACAGCTTGCACTTAAAACAGGCTTAGCGAAGAAAGAAAAGATATTGTGTCTTCCTTGACCTATGGTAACCAATTCACAGAACACAAAAAGAAAAGTCGGTGTGAGTGAGATTCATGTGTGTGCATTGAATGTTGGTTATAGGCTTTGCTCATACTCTCGAGTAGCAGGGTGTTTCTCTGCTTGTTATGTGTTGAAATATTTACCTAATGGAGTGTTAGGCCTGTGTTTGCAAGGGAAATTAAAGTGTGCCTTGTAAACATTTTTAAAAATAAAGAACTGGAAGGATGGGCAGGAGGGCAGGAGGATGGAAAGTATCACTATGTTCCTCAGCCTGCACTGTGAAATTTGTTAGTTAGGTAAATAAAATCAAGCCAAAGAGAAATTAAATACCAGGAATTTGTTAATGTAGATTTGAAAGGCACAGTTACAGAGCTAGAGTTAGAAGCAGAAAGAGACCTTCCATGTGCTGCTTCATTCCGCACAGGGCTGCAATGGCCATGGCTGGGCCGGGCTGAAGCCAACAATGTAAGGACCCAAACGCACAGGCCCTCCTCCACAGCTTTCCCAGGTGTCAGCAGGAGGCTAGGTCAGAAGGGAGGCAGCCAGGATTCAAACCAGTGCCCGTATGTGATACCTGCATCGCAGGCAGTGCCATTCCCTGCTTCATCACAACGCCCGTCTTGTAGTAGTACACTCTCTAACCGTAACAAAGGCACGATTTGGAAAATTATTTTATCATCACTGGTGCAGGTAAATGAACTATGATGTGTCGGGGGAGGTGGGGAAGGGTGTTTAGAACCTGTGCTGTGGAGAGCATGCCCCTGTGGGTGGCAGAGAGGTTTTGAGAAGCTGGCAGCTTCCCCATGAGTGCTGCCTGTGCCACTCAGTGGTTTCATCCAGTGCAGCACCATCTCTTGCATATAAAAGGCTTGTGTTTTTATGGTCCAAAAATATATCAGGTTTTGCAGTTTTTTTAAAAGAAAAAAAAAAAGACATTTATTTTGGGAGTTTCAAAAAACAGTCTTGCAGTTTAGTTGGTTTTTAAAGCTGTTGCCACATTTAAAAATTTTTTACTTCATTATTATTATTATTATTATTATATGATACAGTTCCATAGGCCCTGGGATTTCCCTTATCCCCCCCCATATTATTACTATAGTATAATTCTTCATAAACAGCCATGTATCCATCAATGTGGGTATGCACAGTGGCACTGTAAGCATTTCTGATATATCAGCTTTCATTTGACTCATTTCCTATGTGACATATTCCTTAAATTACTTGAACACCTGCTGTACATGCTTCTCGTTGTTGATAAGAAGCTTTATAGCAAGTGTTTTGAATTCTCAATGTCTTTCTCAGTTAACTCTGAAGTCGGCAAAGGCTTTTGATCCTGTACAACCTTTCTCCCACTTCTGGATAGAGCAGGTCCCAGAATTAGGGAGACACCAGGTGCCCTATATAGCTAGGTTGTTGTTGGTGCTGATCTTACTGGAACCTGTTGGCCATTGGGTCTGAGGGCCACATGGACCTATTTTGGCCTGTATGATGCCTAAGTCAATATTACTTTCCCTGTGGGACTAGTCAATGCACTGAGCTCAGTGAGTTTGCTCCCATCTCAGTGCATGCGCAGCTCATTCTTGTCTTAGAGCCTTTACCATACTGTACAGAATGTGGCCTGATGTGCCACTACTAGAGTTCTTAATCTGCTGGCCGTCAGGAATGAGAGCTACTTAGACCTATTTTGGGTGGAACCTGTAAGATGCCATGTTATTGCAGTTCACTGAGCCAGAAATGAATTCACTCAGTGCATCCACAGCCTTTGCCTCCTTAAACAGAATGGCATCTGATACAGCTCTAGGAGGTGGACTGGGCTGTGAAATACACCCTGTTCCAGGCTGTCTGGGACCTGCCGCTCTGTTTCTGCTCCTGATCAAACCAAACAGACCAGCAGGACGAGCAGTTCTTTGTCTAGGTTCACCTCCTCAGCTCCTGGTGAACATCCCTTTCCACCTTGCTAGTAGAGTTTCACCTGCCAGTGCAATGCAGATTGCTGCTCATTGAATACCACTGGGGTATCATTGGGGTATCAGTCACTGCAACACCACACCATTGTCTCTGCTGCTTTGCTGTGTCTGTCAGTCTCCAGGTACCCCTCTGCTGTTGTTCTGTCCTCTCCTATTTCCTGGAATGTGCCCTCTGCTTCACACTAGCTAATGTTTCTCCATCTGTCTAAATGTGTCCTTACCCTGTTCCACCATCTTGACTCTCCTGTTGCCACATTTTAAGGAGCAAATCTTTACACTGCTTTTGAAAGTATTCTTTTACATTGCTAAAACAAAATCTCTTAATTCTAGGTACAAGCTGGTGAGTTTTAAAATGGTTTTTTTTTTTTTCCCTCTCTCTCTTTATTAGTCGGACTTCTCTAGCAACCTTTCATGAAGGAAAACATAACATTTCCCATATGTCTATGGACGTTGCTAGGGGACTAATGGTGACCTGTGGGACCGATCGCGTGGTGAAGGTAGGCTGGCTTGGGCTCCTCACTTGGCATCTCAGCATCGTACTGTGCCCTGGCTTAGGACATTTCTAGTACACTGCCTTTTCTGAGTGACAAGCTTGCCTTGCCCTGAGTCACAAATCTTGTTCCTTGTGTATTTGCATGTGATAAGTGGCAATGGAGCCTAGCGGTCTTTTCCCTTTGCCATGTGGGTCTGGCAGAGTGAGCCAGTGAGGCTGCAGGAGCTGAGCTGCCCCTGGGATCTCCCCAGTGAACCCGGGCCTCTGCCAACCACTGCCTCGAAGGTGGTGTTTGTTTTTGTCATTGTTCCTTTGCATGCTCTGTGGGAGACATCCTAATTGTCTGGATTACCCACACATTTTGGTGATTAAATCTCTAGGTCACTAACAAGGAAAGTGAAGTCTTAAAACTCGGCCACCCCCTTGAATTGTGAAACTATGTGAAATATTTTATATTCCTGGATATAACTTAAAAAGTCTGCAGTGGAACATCATTATGAAGTAATTAGCAGATGTCAAGATACTACTTACATGCTTTTTCTGTATTTTAGTGACTTGCATTCCCTTAGCTCTGAGATTTCTTAAGATTTCACATTCTAAATGAGAATGGGGGAATCCGTTATCTTGACGTTCCGCGAAGCTTGCCAGCGCTGTTTGCCAACTGCCTCTTGCCGTTAGGCCATGTGACCAAGGAAGCCTTCTTCATGTGTCTTTTCTCCCTTGCAGATATGGGACATGACACCTGTGGTGGGCTGCAGCCTGGCAACTGGATTTTCTCCGCATTGATCCGGGAACTGGGCATGTCTACACCCTAGGAGCAGCGACGTGTGCCAAGAGAAGCTTCCCATGTGGCCCCGCGGTCCCTGTCATGTGAATGGACACTAGCCACTTAAAACAGTCCACACTTAAAAAAAACTGTAAAGGTGTGTCTTTGGGGACACCTGTGGAACCTCCCCATGGGGACTGTGACGGGAACAGTCCTGCAGTGGTTCCCCATGGAATGGGATCTCTTCAAGGAGGCTTCCTCCTGAGCAGGGAGCTGATACATAGTCAGAGAATCCCCTAATCAATGAGGGTGTTAGAGGGGGATGCGCTGAACAGAAACTTTAATATTTGGGACTTCCTTAAAGCAGTGCCGAGTGCGAACTCACTGGCGCTCAGACCAGCAGGCCCTCCTGGCTCCCCCCGGCTCTCGTCCGGGCAGGAACGGCCCGCAGGAGGACTGAACCTCACTTTCCTGGGGGGTGACAGTAGGAACTTAACAAACCAGAGATTCCTCCCGATACGCTGGCTGCGAAAGAATATTCTCTACACTTAGTTAACCACAAACTTCTCAAAGCTACCTGCTTTCTCCGAGTAGTGCCATCATCTCCACCTGGCAATTGTTTGCTTTACTTGTTCCGTTCCCAGCCAGTGTGCCATGGGCAAACCATTCCAGTTGTAAGTTGTGGAATTTCTAGAATACTGGCAGCCCATATTCTTTCCTTTCCCCCAAATGTGCTTTGAGGGCAAATATTTTCTATGGTGCTGTTTTCCCCTGAGTCACATGAATCGCCTGACTTTTTCTCACTGCAGTTGGAAAGGACTGATGGCAAATACAGCTGAGGGGAAATGACCAGTCTGTTTCATGAACTTGTCCAGCACTCCTGACACCTGTGTCTGGCCCCACGTGAGCAGCCACTCCAAAGCTTTTAAGCAATGTTGACATTCGTGGTAACTAGCATTATTTGTGTCTGGTGGAAGGAAATTGGTGACCCAGACTCTGCAGCCGTCAGTCACATTGTGCAGAGTTGCTGCTAAATCATTGCTTTCTTAGCAACTGGCCTAAGTTGTCCAAAATGGCATTCTTTGAAGCCTTTTGCCACAGAGCACCAAGATGAAGAACTGGGCAATGGCGAGCCTATTTTTTTAATATCAAATATTTATGTATGTGTGTGGGATTTTTTTAAAAAATAATAGTAAATGTATCATTAATTTAGGGCTATGGAAGTGAGTGAAGAAGAGCCTGCTTTTTAAAATAACAAAAGTGTGTATATCAACAGTATTTTTGTTAGTCTTACTTATGGGTATTGGTTAAAAAAAAAATCAACCCTACTACTCCAGTGGATTGGGATCACACCAAGACAGCATGACTAGTTTGTGAGATGAAACCAGGGGACTAGATCTGTTTTATATAACAGTTCCTTAAAGGGACTGAAAAGCTTATGAAAAACACAGTAAGATGTCTTAAGGGATATGGGGCATGGATGATTTGAAAAGAGAAAGCAGCCAGGCACATCATGTTCTGGATCGATCAACATTAAAAGTTGGTTTATCTTCAAAAAAATAACACTGAAAGCTTTTGCTGTTCCTTCTAATTTTTGTGTCATATCACTTGAAAAAGCGGTCTCCTTTAAAAACTTTAACTTGGTCCTTCCTAAAATGTAAATTACTGACAGACTTTGGAAGAGAAATTGAGTGATGCAAAGTCACTTTTACACCCGAAGGCCAAACGTGAAGCCTCATAAATGAACTTTGGTTTGATCTGTGGGTCAGCCCATACGAAGGTGCTATCCTGGGCATTTTTGTTGAGCCCTGAAAGGAAAGTTGAATGTAACTGATTCCTTGCCCTGTGGAAGAGTGCTAAACTGTATTTTTGTTTTCCTTGAACTTGTATGTCTGAGGTAGAATGAACAGAGAGCTGCTGAGAACATGCCCCAGCTGTCTGGCCCTGTTCCTTTTAAAAAGGTCTTGGTGACAAAACCCTAGGTTTCATAGAGAACATAAAATTGTAGTAGGGCCTCCTAAGGGACGAAGTTATTACACAACAAGAAGGAAATATGCATGTTAGGGAAAAATTGGAGTAGCTTAGAAAGGAAAGAAAATGCTTGAATGTGATCTGCTTTCCACAAGCCTGTGCCAGGCTTGTCTCGTCTCTGATACGCACTAGGTATGGAAGTGGGAAAAGTTGTTCCCTCAGTTTTTCTGACTAGGCACACATAAAGGTACAGATGCGCTTCTGGTTAGAGCCTCGTTTGGACTGTGATTCTCATCACAGTGTCATTTATAACAGTGGTTCAAGTAACTATTGACGTTTCTGTTCCTGAATACTCAATTTGTACAAAGAGGAATCGACAAGTCCATACTAGCAGAGAAGATCCTTGTATTTCGATCTAGTGTATATGTGATTAAGAAATACCTTTTAAAAAAATAGAGAAATGCTTTTAGAATTGCCCTTTCTTAGTGCAGGTGAGAGCAGTACCCCTACACATTACTCATTACTTGGTAAATCTCGAGAGACGGACACCCCATCTCTGACCTGCTATCTGGAGGACATAAACAAAAATACTGCTTTATGTCATCTGACTTGGTTTTTCCCATAAGGAATTCATTGCATCGGTACCTCCATGTTTTTTAAATCATTAAAACGGGCCCAAATATATACCACAATAGCTCAGTCCCAAGGAGATATTTTCTAAAATCATTCTTCCTTAAAGTACTTTCTACTCCCATAACTGGATCTGGTATCATAAAATCCAAGAAGCCAGTTACCATTAATGATTAGACTATCTGCTCATTGTAAATGTAAGGTTTAACAAATAAGTAATACATTCTATATTTTTCAAGTATCTATTGCTTAATTGTTAATTGTGAGCAGATTGTTGAATGCCTACTCTATTTTCTGTAGTTTCCTATATAATAACTCTTTGTGTAAGCTGAAGTTTAATTGTGCAGCAAATTTATATTTAGAGTACAACCAAGTGTTTTTCTCAGCACCCTTTTTTGACATGGTAAGCAAAAAGTAATGTTATTCGTAACACTTGTTCTTTGACTAGCGATGTTTCTCGTGTGTCCGAGAGAGGCTAGGAGACGTCCTTTCCTCCCATTTCTGTGTTCCATTTTTGTGCTTTTGAGGGAATATGCATACAATAAAATATTCCTTGCTTGTTACTGTGTTGTTGCGTTTGGACACGAAGCAATGCTGTTAGTGACCATGTGGTCAGCGCCCTCTGTGTGCTTGGTACTCTGCGCAGGGTGTCCTGGTCAGTCCTTGCAACACCTCTGCAAGGTATCGTTTCCTTCATTTTACACATGACTCACCAGCCTTCCCCGTTCCCCCCTTCATCAGGCAGCATGCCACGCTGCTGTCCTTAAGGAAAGTGACCTTGTTTTCTCAGGTGAAGTCTGGGGAGGCCTTCCTGAGCGATCCTTTGGCACAGCGCAGAGCTACGAGAGGTGCCAAGACCCGAGCCCTCTGCTTCCCGCGGGCAGCTCTGTTTCCTGAGTCCACCCAGAGACCCGACACCTGCCAAACCGGGAAGAGACTGACTTTGTTTTCTTTCATCATCATCAGAAGTATATTTTGATCCAATGAGAAGAGTAAAAGAACACAACACTGTCCTTGGCTTGCATGAGCGAGTGATAAATCACTAGTTTAGTCCACAGGCCACAGGCATGCAGGGAAGGTGTGTGTGTGTGCGTGTGTGTTGGGGCCTGAGACTACAGCTCATACGAGTGCGAGTGTAGCCTGTATGCCAGTATTCCATGGGTGTAATATAACATAAATCATCACTTATTTCCCCCAATACCATATTAAAGTTAAATTACACTGTGGAAAATTATTTTAAAACCTGTGCTTATTTTTCTAGTACCCCTTCAGGCATGTTCATATTTGAAAAAACTTTGGAATATGCATTTGACATTCTAGAGAGAAAGCAACAGGAATGACTTTTATTATTATTGTTATTTGTAAACACCATTGGTAGAGACAGGAGTGTGTGAATGTCTCCAAATCAAACCTTGCATTTGCAAGGATTTGGGAACTGCTTTTCTCCAGGGAATTGCTGTTAAACCTAGGCCACCCTCAAAGGACTTTCACTAAATCTGCCCTTAAAACAAGCATCATCTATGGGGAAGGTGGGCGTTGTTTTCTCAGATGAGGCTTGGGAAGGCCAGTGTGACTCATCGGGCAGCACAGCAGAGGCAGTGCTGTGCTCTCTGACCTCACCTGGATGGGACATGCTGTCCCACATTTACAACAGCAAATGCCTGGCAGGCTCGACCATGAGAGTAAAGCCACAAAACAGTCACATGATTACAATAGTTGAGGATGCCAGGCACGCTTTTTCTTTCTTAAGTAAATGTGATAGTCAATTTTGGTGAGATAATGGTGAGCCAGCAAATAGTTTCATGATTAGATTTCTTTCAGTTAATCCTGCAATGTCAGGGTTTATGTGATTTCATAATTTGCTGTAATCAAAATACCAAAAAAGAGAAAGAAAGAATTATTTTCAAACAATTGCAAGTGTTTTTAATCACTTTTCTGGACCGACCCCAGCGTTAGCTTGCCTTGTGATTCTCAGCGCACCCCGTGAGAGGCCTGCGCCTCCAGCTCCCGCACGCTCCCTCCAGAGGAAAGGGCGCCTTCTACCGTGTCCTCACTGCCTCTCACACAGGCTGCTGAAGGTGTGTAACCTTTGGATTCTTTACAAATTTTTGTCCCGTTCATTTATTCAATAGATAGAAAGCTAAACTCCGTGTGTTCCTTATACTTTGAAAATGCCACATGTGGCTGAATACGTTGAAACTTCTGTTGTGCACTTTAATGAGCTGTGGGAGTCACAGAAAGTAATTACAGAGAAATTTATCTAAGTAGAAACATCTGTTTGAGTCAAACCAGTATGCTATTAAGAGGAAGACAGAGGGAAGAGGCGTATATGATCAAGGAGAAATTGGTTCATTTGTGGGTGTATCCTAGCGAAAATTAAAAAAAAAAAACAAAACTGGTCAATTATATGGGGATTTTGCTTCTAGTTTTTTATGCAGCGTGCTGTTTTCTGTGATCTGTTATATGTAACATCTGATAACTTTGGCTACAGCAGTCCTGGTAGGCTGTCAAATGATTCCTGATGTTTGTGTGAAACATTGGTGAGCTTGTAAACACAAACCTTGGCACAAGCCTATTGGCTGTGCCTTTCAAATTTATCTCCCACATGGCCACTTCTCAACATTCAGCTGCTGTCATCTTCTGGATTATTCCAGCAGCTCCCCATTCCGTTTCATGATCCTACACCCAATCCTGTTTTCAACACAGCTGTTAAAACACCATCCAGTATCATGACATTCATTTCCACAGAACCCTGACAGCCTTCATCCCACTCACAGAAGGTCATGCCCTAAAATGATTCCTCATTGCTCCTGTCCCATCCCCCCATCCACAGTGATATTCTTGCTTGCTCCTATCTAGCCACATAGGTCTTGTCATTCTCCCTCTAACTCTTGTGAGGATGGGGATTTTGTGCACATGATAGTATGAGCAGTGTCGGTCACACGTCAGGCCCTGAGTGAGTCATGAAGGTGAACGTGTACAATGTGGCTGCATTTTGAAGGATTTGTAAGACAACTCCACTTTGCAGCTTTGTGGGGAGGAGTGTGGGAGTGAATGTGGAGACAGTGTTTCAAAAGATCTCTCCGAGCTTTTAGGCCTTCTTCCTAGTGAACAATGGGATCTATGGCTTTTCCCTTTGAGATTGGCCAGATTGACTCTTAACAGGATGCGGTGGAAGTGAAACTACATAATGTCTCAGGCTAGATTGGAAAATGAGTACTATGATAACTATTGAGTGCTAATCATGTATAGTAGTATTCTAGATCCTTGAAAAACACATTCTAGAGAAAACAAAGGTCTTTGCTTTTGTAGATTTGCAGAGGGTGACAAACAAGCAATGGGCCTAAGTGTACAGGATGATGTAGTCTTTAGGGATAAGCATGCAGGCAAGGAGGCCACTGAAAAGAATATAAGGGGGTGGGTGAGGAGTAGATATATTCTGGGAATGTTTTGACAGGAGAATCAGCATGATTTCCTGATGTTTGTATGTGCAGGAGAAACTGAGAACAAAATAAATGGAGGAACTAAAACCTCCTCCTAGGTTGTCCTTGAGCAAATGGAAAGGCAGAGCTGCCAGAAAGTTTAGAACGTCTAAGCTAATCAGGTGTTGAACTGATGAATACGTGCTAGGAACCCTGCTGCACATTTGTGCTAAGGAAAGGGACCTGCATACTCGGACCATATGCCATCTATATTGCGTATGTGTTTCCTTTTCCACACATCTACTGAACATTCAGGGATGACATTAATGATAACTCCAATCCAATGCCACAGGGTTATTGCTTCATTTGTGCTTTCAATTACTGCCTTCTCCAACAGTGAGGAACATGTCTCAGGTTATCCACAGTATACTTACTGAGTTCCAGAATACAAACAAAATAGTTTCAGAATTCCTAACCCAGAGTCCAGTGACTGACACAATAGGTTAGGATGCCACCTGGGTTATCCTTGTGCAGGGGCCATGCTAATTTCTTACTGTTCCAGTTTTAGTTCATGTCCTGCCAAAGTGGGCACAGGATGCCACCTGGGATCCTGCATCCCATATTGGAGTGTTTTTTTCCCCTGCCATGAATATTTAAGATTTCTTTGTAGCCAAACATCAACAATTAAAGATCTAGGGCGTCTGCTAGAAACTGCATAAGAGGAGGTTTAAGTGCATTTTATGTTTTTTCCCCAGAACTTGTATGGCTTTCTTTTCTATTTTTGCATTTAGATTCCTGACTCATGGAGAGTTTATTCTCATATGGGATGTGAGGTATGGATCTAGGTTTTTGTTTTTTTGTTTTTCAAATGGCAAATCAGTATGCCAGCACCAACTACTAAAAGGCCCATCTCTGTCTTGGTGATTTGCTGTAAAGTTTCAAGTGTGCAAAAGTCTACTTCTGGACTTGATAGGGCAGTCCACTGGTCTGCCCACTCATGTGACAGTGTTATTCCTCTTCAGGTATAAAAACTTCATGTTTCTCTGTCTCTTTAAGGTTTATTTATTCTTACTGGAAAGGTAGATATACAGAAAGGAGGAGAGACAGAGAGCAAGATTTTCCATCCTCTTATTCATTCCCCAAGTGGCTGCAATGGCCGGAGCTGAGCCAATATGAAGCTAGAAGCTTCTTCCAGGTTTCCCACAAGGTGCAGTGTCCCAAGCTTAGGGCCGTCCTTGACTGCTATCCCAGGCCACAGGCAGGGAGCTGGATGGGAAGTAGACCTCTGGAACATGACCCAGTGCTCATATGGGATTCCATTGTTTACAAGGTGAGAACTTTACCTGCTGGAATACTGTGCTGGACTCTCATATTCTCTTAATGCCTGGTAGGCTGATCCCATATTGTAGCTCCTTATTTTAAATGCTTCCTGGCTATTCTTGCATGTTTGTTTTTCCATATAACCTTTGTTCCTACTCATTTAACTTCATCAACAACCCTTGGTATTTTGACATCTTTATAATGTTGAGAAATTTTATGTTAAAACAAGTGTCTTCAAATCAACTTTCGTAGATGAATAGACTTTCAAGAATTATGTCTTTTCTCAAGTAGGGCTTCATCTACTTCCTGTTAAATTTCCTCTAAAAATTCTTCCAAGTGTTGTTTGTTTTCTTTATAGATAGAGGAAATAGGGATTTCTCTGTATTCTCCAACTACTAATTATGTCGAAGTTATTTCCTGTACTGATTTCAGTACCCTGATTCAGGACCGGATTCTCTCGTGTGAGTGCTGAGAGCTCTTCAACAATATGTCTTCTCCCTCCCAAACTGAGGAAACTGTTTTTCCTAAAACCTGGGTGCTAGTGGCACAGTTTAATGTATTATTTGCAGGTGTATTTCTGCCACAGCTTGTGAAGTGAGAAATGAAAATTTAGATATATACATCCTAACATACTGCTATTTATGATAAGTATAAATTTCTAATTATATAATGTTAGATTTTTTTTTTACCTGTACCTTGGGACATGAAGTATCTAACTTTCATGTGGTTATTTAAAATCTATTTTTAAAGTTAAATTAAGTAAAAGAGTCTTCCCATCCATTATTTCATTGTCCGAATACTTGTACTCTCTGGCCAGGTCC